AGGGAGACCAGACTCCTTTGGTATTTACCCAAACTGAGAGATGCACATTGAATGGATCTTTGAGGACTTGTCGAACCTGTTGTCCAGGTGACCTTCTGGCGGACCGAGTCAAGCATTCTCTTGACATGTAGGTTAAGCCGTTCTGGCTTGTGCCCAGGGTCCTCGAATCGTTGGGCAATGTGAAAACTCATCACGTGTCTGTAAACAATAATACTCGGCTCGCCTTGATTGACAGCTTCATTCAATGCGGCTTAATCTTCTTTTCCTCGGTTGCATGGGCAACGAATTTCCCGTTTTTCCTATCCGAGATCAAGTCATTCCTTTCGATAATATGGCTTACCAACTGACTTATAAAGAAATTTCTATGAATTAATTTAAAGTTCGCCCGAATTTATGCAACGAACTCTACAACCAAACAGAGGCACACAGAGAGGACCCATATCTTTTCCGGCCCATTCCAATATCGATGACTCCTTTCTGTGTGGGCCACAGATATGGGGGAGTCTGAATGTGAGTGCGGTATCTGCTGCTGATATGTTGGCCTATTCATTGAACTGGAATCCATTTACACAAACAAAGCTACGCCTTTACCGAATGCGTTTGATGTTGAATGAGTGAAACTTTGACTCGGGTGTGGTCTGGCACGGGGTGAACAGTCCCCAGTCTTTCAGCGACTATTGCGGCCCACTAACCAATGTTGTTTCAGCACTTGGCTCAGTTTATCCCTTAGAGACAGCGACCCTCTTGTCGAACAAATAAAGTTACTTTGCCAGACAAAGCTTGGCCTATATTCTCTTAATTAAGTGGCTATTACTGAAGGCCCCGGCTGACATCAAAGTTCAGTTTCAAACTGAAATGAGGCGCTACCATCTGCTGCCTCTCGGCTTGTCTGTCTGTATGTGAGTCGGAAAGTGTCTTGGAATCCTTTTAGCATCACATATATTTTTTATGAGCTCTGCTAAATTTAATTATTCCTGCCAACTCGAATGTACGCAGTACCCAGCAGAGTAATTGAAGATGTTGTGCTCGAATAAATACATGCAACAGTTTGAAGAAAGATGAATATTCCCACACGGCAGAGTAACCAATTATATGAGCTATGAAATAACGAAAAGCGAAAAAAATAGAAAACCCAACAGTATTTTTCTTTTATTGTAATTTGTGGCATTGCTGGTGGGTAGTTCGAATAGTTATCCATAGCACTCCTCCGATTTGATTGGGAAAACCATTTCCTGAAAATAATTGCCGGATTTGACGGAATTCAAAGCAACATTTTTTTTTCATATCCATGGCTGGTCTTCTAGAATGTACCTACATATAAAAAATTGCATTCAATTGGATGGCGGCAGGTCAATTAATCGCATTTTCCATTCATTCATTCATCCATGTATAGTATGTACATAATCATGGTTCCGTTACACCTGAGCTCTTGAAAATGGCTTCCCAATGAAAACTTCAATTTTGATTTATGAGCTGGCACGGTGCCTTTGTTTCTCCGCATTATAAATTAGTGGCTTCATCATAAACATAATCATTATCGGTCTGCGGAAGCAGACATCAATCAAAACCAATGGGAGATAATCGATTCTCCCAACATTCGAGCGGAAACTGGGGAGAAACCGTGGCATTGCCGGGGATGATTGCTCATCACGATGATGACCATTTTGAATGTGATTGTGATTATTCACCTGTCAGTGCTCGTGCTGAGGGTTTACAGGGCGGCCGGGGGCAACGCTGCGTATGAGTAATGATGTGCGAACGGAGGATGGAAATCAATTATAAGTAATTTAAGTGATACATGGAAATATTTATGCATTAAATTAGCTTACGGCTCTCAACCTGGAGGCATTACTACTATCCTGGCCGATCCTGCTCCATCTCTGCTAAACGCTTGCCCTTCTCATCGTCTCAAAGCTGGCCCCAAGCTAATTTACCGTACAGTTTTCTAGCTTTTAATGAGAATTTTGTTGCCTTTTTGCGGGTCCACTTTTTGTCCTTCCAAGAAGAATTATGTAAATAATGCTAGGCGGCAATTTGCGATGGCTTCTGCAGCTGGTCTCTCGCTTCTGTTTGAGTTTTAATAAGAAAAGTCAGCAGCATAATGGAAAACGCTTGTTTGCTTTCTAATGAAAGAATAAATCTGTTACCAGAGCATTGGGCACGCGTTGCGTATACGTAATATGAGAAAATAATTGCTTCCATGGCTGGCTGGCAAATTGCTTTCGAAGCGAACCCAAGAAAACCACACACAGAACACATCCTCGTCCAACAATGATGAATCCGCAGAAAATTTTTTTTAAACAGCAAAGCCAGAAAATGATTTCGTTTACAATGGCTTCCCCTCATTCATTCTTTCGTACTTACATTGCTCCCGTGTTGATGAAAAGCCAAGGGGGTGGAGTGGGGAGTGGTTGCTTTTATGGCCGTGTTTATTGGCCTCTTTTCTGGTTGACCAAAGCATTCGTTCCCAGCCACCACAATGTTCCTACTTCGAGTCGACTCCTGTCATTGTCCTGCCATCTCCCCACTCATTTGCCGTAAATGATTATTATCAACCGCAGCAGCAACAGCAACAGCAACATTTTAATGACTTTGTCAATTTGCATTCACCTGTCGAGGGGCGGAGCGAGGCGAACTTTTAGTTGAGGGATTCTGGCCGTAAGACTCTGGCTTAAAGGCTTCGTGGCTTCTGTTGTCGTCTGGGCAGGAATCAGATGTTTCCCAGACGCCATTTTCTTTGATTATGAATGCAAATTTGCATTCGGTGGCTCTTTCAGCATTTGTTTTGCGGTCCTTAAAGTTTATTTTATTTCTTTGCTCTTTTATCGAGACGCAGCGAGGGGAAAGGCATTAAAATTAATGCTCTGTATATGGCCAACCCTTGGGAATTCGGAACCTTAGTTGTGTGGTGGTTAAAAAGGGATAATTCCAACGAAATCAGTTGAATTTCATCTGAAAAGAGAAGGCAGTGGCCTGTGATATGATGAGCTGAATGGCCAGAATGAGTGACCTTGGTATCCCTCCTTTCTCGACTGTTGCTCTTTCCGCAACTCTTGAACACAGCTGGGTATAACAGCCACTTGTGTGCTGACCATTTTCCTATAAGGTGCCAGTAGCGAGTGGAGTTCAAAGGCAATGCAGTGTCCTCTTAGTGGAAATACCATGAATCGGATATGATAAGCTGTTGCTAAGTATTAAGTTGGCAGCCGGCAAATTGTTTTCGTATTCAGGCGCTTATCAAAGTTTTCACCTGCTGTTATGTAAATGTTCCTGTGCATTCATTTGTGCAACATTTTTCAGATGGTCTGTCGACAACTGTTCCAGTAAAAAAGCTATTAAGGAATAGGAATGAGCGTAGGAGTATGTTGCTGCATTAAATAATCCTTTCACTCCTGCCATGGCATGGCATGGCTACGCAGGGAGGCATTTAAATTTCAATATGTATATTCCTCTCTTTTCTGAGGCACAACTACAACACCTCCCAGACCCCATAAGCGACGTTGAGGCGCACATACACAGTTAAAATGGCAACAACAGACCAGACGCCACAGGAGGTGCGACAGAAGCTGAAACCGAGACAGGGTTCAGCAGCCTGTGGCAGGGAAATGTCAGAGGAAAAAGAGGGCACCGCCTAGGGGACATGATTTTAATTGTGTGTCGGAAATTATGTTTCACTTTCAAACCCAGGCAACCTTTTGTTCCTCCTAGGAGTTCTCCTGATCCATACAGACCGAATCGAAAGAATAAACTTTACCCTCAATGTTGGTTTCGCATTTGACTTTGACTTTTCCTGTCTGGGGATGAATTTAATGGACATTTGCTACCGAAAGTTCTCTTAACAATAACATGGATTCTTTTCATCCGGCGTAGGGTCATAACCCTGGTCCGAGAATTTTAAAATATGGAAAAAAAGTTGAAAATTTCTAAAAATGCGCAAACAGAAGAACTTTGCTGTAAAACTTAAATATGACCCTGCAATTATCTGGTTATCCCTTCAGAGGGCAAACTATTTTCATCTTTTAATCAGTTTTTAAGAAAACTTTTTACGCAGTGTAAGAACTGCAAAAGGTTTATTCTTTCACCACGCTAGTTTAATCTTTTTTTTGACTATTTTAATTATACAATTATAGTTATTTTAGTTCCTGCCAAAACTGGTGGGACATTTTATACTACTTAATTGAATAAAACAAATTTTGTAGCATCATTTTTATTATTTTCTTGCAGCTACTCTACGACCTCGGCGACCCACTGACATTTCTGAAGAAAACTTTGCTAGTACATTCTAGTACAGTCGTCTCTGGAGCATTTGAATTCGATTAAAAGTGCATTAGGCATTACGCACACAGACAGACACAGCTCTTACGTGTTAAGACGAGACACAAAAGTTGGAATTAGTTTTCGGAATTGGCCACAGACCGAAGAGAAGTGTGATTTGGTTTTTCTTGTGGCTGGTGTTTGATATTCCAGAGATGAATCCAAAACTTTGCGGCTAGTCGTACCCATTTTAATCCGGAATGTGTGCACGAATGTGAATTGGAGCCAACAAGGAGTCGAGTTCCATCCAAGACGCAAACACACCTGAGAACTTGGCACTTGGGCGGGGCAGCGTAAGTGAGGCCGAGGCGGAGGCTGGGAGAGTGCTCTGCGGATGCATTTCATTTGGAAGGGGGCCCGACAAAGACAATACGGAGGGTTTACGGAGTGCCTTGGCCCGTTTACGCAACAGAACGGGCCCCTCAGTTCCACAACAACCCACACCGCCAACCTCTCCCCTGCCTACCACCAACTCCAACTCCAACTACAGCAGCAGATACACCAATCCCTGCCAGCATCCAGCCGCCAATCCCTTGTCATCGCCCACATCTGCTGCTGTCTTGCCGCATTCTAGCGCGGTCATATCATCAAAGTCAAATTCAACGGCAGCGGCAACGGCAACGGGACAGGGAAGAGGACGAGAAGGGGCTGGTGCTGGAACTGTAACTGGAACCGCAGGAGCTAGAACAGGAGCCACCAGGACGGGAGCTGTGGCTGCTGCTGCTGCAGCTACAGATGGAAGCCGCATCAATGGCCTCGTACAGAACGTGAGTACCATAAAATCATCTTACAGCAGTACCAAAACAGCTCGCTTCCCTTGGCATATTGCTATGTATACGTAGCATTACCTGTAACACTGTAACTATGTATCTGTAACTGTATCTGCTTGAGTCAACACAAAGCCGCAAATTTTGATATGTACATATGTATACTCGTACAACACCCAACATCACACGTTAATTGCAGTGCACCGAAAGCTTGAAATTGAGTCACATATTCGTAGATCTATCCAGCAGATTGCCCACAGAGCCTGAGTTTGCTGGCAATTATACAGAAGATACACTAGAATAAATCTATCTTGATCGTTCGCTAAGAGTTACGGTAAACTTTGAACGCAATACAATTTGCAATACAAATCATAACGGATGTGGGTGGGGGCGACGTTTTCCCTGACTTCTTGCTCCATGAATTTATATCTGACGTTGTAGGTCCGGAAATGGAAAAATCAGTGCTCAAACTGCATTTTATGGCAAATGATGCAATTGCAAAAACGCATCCGGCGCCCTTTTTGCTAAATCAAATTTCCAACGACTGAAAGTGACTGCCACATCCTGCCTTCAGCATTAACTGCATTTATCAGCATCGAAGAGGTGATAATAATTGGATTGGTCAGCCAGCTTTTATCCAAAACTCACGAATGGTAGACACACGGTGCACATCAGATTGTAGCATTTTTTGGCCTTCGCTTCGTTGGTAATTCGATTTGCATTCACATGGCCAGGGAAATGGCTATACCAAGGATGGGGAAGCGAGAAAAATACAAAAAATAAAGAGCTACATAAGCAAGTTGAATGCATAACAACATTTTACCATTAGACTTAATTAAAGCGTTAATTAAAATGAATTCGTTAATTGAAATTGGGGACTGAGGCGATGGCTGCTACTGGAAATTGTGGGAGCACGAGCAACAGAACGAACCCACTTCAATTGAAGGCCAGACACAACGTGGTAATGACATTCGATGGGAAATAATGAGATTTTCGGTTTATGCGCAGCGCATTGAAGAGATTTCCTACAACATGGTGGCAACTTAATTAAGCCTGGCATGGCATGGCATGCCCTGGAAACCTTTGGAAACCTGTGCCGACGCCAGCTGACATCAATGACAGACAATGGCCAGACCCAGACCCACACGGTGTGGGCGTGAGGAGCATGTGACATGGCCCAAAGATGGGCCAGCAAAACATTTGGCCTTCGGCCATGCATAAATTTCCAGATCGCAACTTGCTACTATATTGTACGAACTTTGGCTCCAGCAAATACGAGTATTAGAAGCATTTGGCACGTACCTCTTTTATCCGAAAGTTTGCCCATTGAAGAGGCCGCCTCCATTTGGACTGCCATCATTTCTGGTTAGGCCGTTGCCAAGTGGATTATGGGCAAATATTTTACATTTCTGTTGGTCGGTCCTCCCGGCCCTGTCAATCCAAATTAGAGTGTTGAGAGGATTTACTTTGCAGCTTAATTAAACTCAATTATACTCATGTTGACACTTTTGTTATTCCAAGTATTTTGTGTTGTTTTGTTTTGGGTGAAATCGAATTAAAATTAACACTTCAAACTTGATAAATGCCACGTGGGAGCAGAAGTGTTGTCCATTATGGATTGTTTAGACTGCAGATTAGTTGGGAATCTCGATTGCAATTACTTTAACGAAGCTCGGAATGTGGTTCAACCAGACGAAACTTAATTTAATTCGAGTGAATTTTAATTAAGCAAATTGCATTCGATATTAGTCGGCACCAATGAATTCGACCATACTCGTCGTTTTTAATACATAAATTATTAAATCGAATCTAGTTAACTGCATTGGCAGCTGTACTTAACCCAAAGTTTTGCCACAAATCGATGCCGCATCGCAAAAACATTACCAAAGGTCAGCAAGGTAATTTCATTTCTCATCTTTGCCCCCGCTTTGAACTGCCTGCTCCACTCAGGTGGTGGCTGGTGTGATTGATTTGATTGCTGTCACCGACTGGATATGTGATGAAAATCCATCCAATACAATGAGCCACGCTCACTTTCCCTTGGCGTCTGTCGGGGGCCTTTTCTGCTGTCCTTTGAAGTGCTCGTGAGAGGTTTGCGAAAGCGAATTGAAAGTCATTTACAATTTTGTTTTTATCAACTTTAAGTGTAAGATTATGGTGTGTACTTCTTGCTGGTTTTCCTACAACAACTTACCCCTGGGACCCTTTTCATAAATTTCCGTTTCCATCCACTGCCATCCATTTCCCATTAAATGGAGCCTGGCCCCCGAAGGCGGCGGAAGATGTGCATTTATCCATTACCGTTGGCTCGTCTCTCCTCTCCAATAACCTGGTTAAAATGTAATTATCCTACCTGTACTCTGTTGGCATGCCATGCCTGCCATTTAGCCATGTCTCAATGGCCGGAAATCGAATTGATTTCCCGCTTGGCCTGGCCAAATGCATTGCATGTGAAATGAACTCGTTCGAAGAATTATGGCCATGAATTAAAGTTGATTGAATGTCTGTACATCTATATATGTACGTGCAGAGTGCCGAAGCAGAGGAGGCCCCGCATAATTGTCGGCTCATTAAACGATAATGCAGGAAAATTGATGCCCGTCCTGTTTCCAATCCCATTCCATTTTTGGGGGGAAATTCAATTGCATAAACTTTCCGATGAAAAAGTGATAGCGGGACGACAGCGGCAGCCACAGGGAAGTTGCCGGCAGCAATTAGTGCGTTCTGTTCGGGTCTCCTCAGTCTCGGGTGTGCTCGGATTCGGATGTGGCAGGAGCCTCTCGAGCAGCAGCAGCAGCAGGAACGTGGCCGAAGTCAGCGACGTGCCGTGCGTCAGCTGCTAAAATGAAAACCAAAAAGTTTGTTTATGCTTAGAATGCCAGCGGAATTGCTTAGTGGTGGGGGAGCTGGGATGCTCAGATGCTGGCAGGATGATGCTGCTGCTGCTGCTGGTGCTGTCTCTGGTGGCATTGACATCGACGGCACGGCCAGGGCTGTTGTCATTCAAGTGTTCTAATCAATTCTGATTTAATTTTACGCCCAATTAAGTGTGAAAAGCGTTTGATGTTGGGCACGGGTGCGAGCAGTAAATGGAAGCGAACAAGGTCTCCCCGTGGCTCTCTCCCTCCTCCTCTGGCAGGGGCAGTCACACAAGCGTGAGCATTGAATATGCCATATGTGTATGCGGTCCGCTCCTTGTTCCCGGCGGGTCCTTTGCTCGCATGAGTCCCGTCCCAGCTTTGGGTTCGGCAGCACTCACACTTGAATAAAGCTATCACAGACACATTTTGATCCTTACCCTGGCTGGGCTATTTGTACTTACCGCTGCTTCTGTATGCTCGCTGTGGCTTCCGCACCTTGCTCACCTCACCGCTCCTCGCTTTCACATATTTCACTCCCTCTCTTTCTCTCTTTGTGTGTATCTTTAACCATGGAACAACTTTCTTCTTATGACAGAGGCAGACGTGGCAGATAGTTCCGCCAAGACATTATCCAATAATCTTTATCAACAGCCACAGCCAGCGCTGCAGCATCCGCGGCGCGTGCCCAACTCCAACTCCACCTCCAGGTACAGTTTGTTGGAAACTTTAGTCTGCATGACAGCCGATCCGATATCCCTGTGCTTTTGGATTTGTTTGCAGGTAACGACTAACCTAACTGAATGTTCAGGTTCAAGACATATTCACTAATTAAATATCTATGTACTTTTCCTATCATTTGATGTGCGTAATTTGACGCTGTCAACAAGAAAATAAATATTCTTGTGTACACACTGGCCCCGTAGGTTTGTCACGTCACGATAACGTTTCTCACAAACAGCTGTGTCGATTGAAGAATTTAAAGCACTATTTTTATTCTGGCAAAGTTTGATTTGGCAGCAAAATCAATTGAGGAAAGTATCTCCCAAAAAGGTCCTTATCCTGATGTCTCCGACGAAAGAGCTTATCCAAAGTCCCATCAAAGTGGAAGGGCTTTACTCCGACTCTCTATAGCTGCAAATATTTAAATTTATTTTCTTGAATATTCATCTACTTAGAAATAGAAGCAGTCCCTGCAAGCGTACAGAATTTTAAATGATTAAATTTGAAGTAATCTTAAAGATGGGAAAAGAAACGAAGCGAAATCGTCCAACTCCTCTGATGGCACTTTAGGTGACAGCGTAAACGCCAAACTCCGCCTGTGGGGTGGCGAGACAGGCATGGAAGAGTGGGGCCATAAAACAATTTTGTTGTAAATTTACGATACTCCCCCCGGCCATGCACGACAGAAGGTACATGCATAAATACTCGCAGATGTACAGCCATGGAGGCAGGCACTGGCACTTGACATTTTCTTTGCGCCAAGAAATTAACAGAGAATTGGAGGGTAGGGAAAATACGTTCTCCATTGTGATTCTGGAGGCATAAATTAATTTATTGAATGAACAGATTGCATTTTTAATTTATTATATATTTAGTATTGATTTTAGGACACATGAATTTCTCTTTTACATGATGGAAAATTTTGGTGTTGGAGATTGTCGTAAGGCTAATGACGGTTTTTCATTCTCACTGGGTTTAACTTTTTATTGTTATTGGCTATCCACCCCAAACGCGCAAGTAACAAAATTTTCCTATAGTTCTGCAGACTTTTAAAGCAATTTGTGGGGAAAGATGAAGCGTTCCAAGGACGAGGACAAAGAGGACAGTGCCAGTGCCACTAGCAACTTGAATTCAAGCACTGGCAGCAACAGCAACGATGCTGCTGCAACTGTAGTTACCGCCTCAGCGGCCCGCAACTCCACGCCAGCGAATACCACTGTGCAAGCGTCGCACTTGCCGGCTCCGGCCACAGCCGCAGTGCCAGTGCCAGTTACACCGCCACCGGCGGGAGTGCCTCATTACGTGTGTGTGTCTATATATTAGGCTTATGCTTGTGTGTGTGGGATCCGTCTGCCTCCCAGGACGAGTGCGTCTCATAAACTAGTTACAAATGTGCTTCATACCTTAATAGATTCTAACTTTCTGCCTTTCACAGGATCTATTATTCTATCTTTTATGTGTTCTGTTGTTTTTTTTTTATACTGTGGTGTGTGTGTGGGTTACGTGTGCGAGTGTACGGTACGGTACGGGTGTGGATGAACATGCTTGGATTGCATTGAATGAATTGGGCTAACATATCCCAACTGGTAACTTAGAAATAATAAATCGACACTGGCGTTACGTTGCCTAAACGTAACGCCCAAGAGAACTCGTCCTCTGATCTACTATAATTGTTGCTAAATCAGACGCACCAATTGTGCTTAATTTTGAACATTTTGGAACGTTTTTTAGCGCTATTTCTTTTAACTGTACTTGCTATATTTTTTTTTTTTAGTTTTTTAATTTAGAACTGAACTGCGCGACGAAACAATTTAGGGGAACTGACAAAGACCGAAAAGGCAGCGAAGATCAAAACGATATTTAGTTTGTTGTTTCCTTTTTGAACACCAAACGCTGGCACGGCTTGGCTCGGATTGGATCGGTTCCGTTCCGGCTTGGGATTTAGTCTGATTTGGCCAACGTTTAAGGAAGCACAGAAAAATGCTCCTGATTTCCTGTAGCAACTAGTTATATGGAGTATTATATGTGTAGGCATGGTAAACGAAACGAAAGATAACATAAGTATTAACGTATTCGCGCTGGGGTTTCCTGGTAGATGTTCCCAATACAGGGAACAGGAACAGTTCCCTTCGCTTCGGTTATGGGTTATGGATTATGGTGTGTCATGTTTCCCTAATGAACTGGTAATTCTAACTTATTTCCCAAATGGATTTCGATTCTTTTGATTATCCTAAATTCGGCGGGGATCCTAACTGAATCCCTCTCCACGTCAAGGTCCCTCAAATGTGCTGCTGTTTGTGTCTTTCTGTGTGTCTGTTGTATGTGTTATAGGTGAAATGTGTTAACGTGTGTGTGTGAATGTGAGTGTGTGGGATGGGCTACCACTGCGCCGCATCTCCGGATTACGCTGCTCAGTAGACAATGAGCAGGTTGTTCTCATTGAAGCCGGCGGAGTGGCCGGCGTTGCGTACAATGAAACAGGAACCATCGAAGTGCATACGCTTCTCATTGCGACTGCAAATGACAAAACGAAACAAAGCAGTTAGTCCAGCAGTATGAAGGGGTGCAGGAGGTGGGGCTTAGGCACTCACCGAACAAACAGATGCGAGGTCTTGCCCAGAGAGGCAGTGCAATGGATGCCAGGAGTGGTCAAAGTGGCCGATCCATTGCCAGGACTGGTACGAATCAGGCACTTGTTGTAGACACGAGTGACCTTAACCAGGCCATCGACTGCCTGGGTGATGCGAAATCCGTTTATGTCATAGATCTCGGTGCCATCCTCAGCACAGCTGTAAACTGAGCTGGCAATCACCTCATGGGCTTCAGCCACATAAGAGGGACCATGGCGCGAGTCGCTGCGAAAAGTTTGGGAATTAAATGGAGATTCAGAAGATTAGAAACCGGTGGACGGGACGGGGGACTCACTCATAGAACACTGCCAGGGTGTAGTCCTTGGTCAGATCGGTGAAAGTGTCGGTTGTGGTGCGCGTCCCGGCTGTGTCCACCAGGTAGATGAGAGCGCACGCCTCGCTGGTGAAGCTCACACCCTTGTACCACATCTTGGCATAGCGACTGCAATAGGATTTAATATCACAAGGATTTAAAAGTAGGCAAAGGCTGGATGCATTCATACTCACACAAAGTTATTGCCCTTCATGCCGTCATAGGTGACAATTTCGACCTTAGAGCCGCTCTGCAAGATGCGTCCATTGGGGTGGATCATAGCCGAGTTGCTGCAGTTGCGCGATAGAGCAACTGCCACCATGCTGCGCTGATTGAGCACGCGCACCGCCTTGTCCAGAGTCATGTCAATGCTGCACCATGCAATTAAATGTTAAACCATTAGGAATAGTTCTCAATAAAAGGGAAAGGGCGGGGGGGGTCCACACTCACCGCACTCCCTCGCGGAGGCGCAACTGGATGGTGCCGTTCGGCATGGCAATGGGTCCAGAGCCGGGACATGGCGGCGGTGTGTTGTTCTCGAGTTCGAACATGCGTGTGCTGCTCACGCGGCCCAAGGCGTATGGTGGTGGGGGCATTGGCGGCGGCAACTGCTGGGAGTTCTGAGTTCCAGCCTAGATTCGATTAGATACATAGACCATGTATAATGTTTGCCAAGCTTAAGCACTTACCTGGCAGTAGATCTGCTCGCCGTCGAAGCCATAGGGGGCCGTGTTGTGATAGCGCGCGGTAAGTGCCGTGCCGTTGCGCGTCCTGTTGCCAGTGTCTATTTCCTGCATGGTCCCAGCCGGGTACGGGGGCATGTTGGGCATGTGTATGCCCGGCAGGTGGACGTATGGACGGGCCGACTGACTGCCGGCTTGATCCTTGGCCATACCGTTGTTGATGGTGATGGTGTTGGTGCCAACGCTGGCGCTGCCGGTGAGGCTGCAGCTGCTGCCGCGATCCATGCGGCCACTGGACCCCATTCCGGAGGACAGCGAGAGGTTGCTTACCCGTTGCGACAGCTGCCCGACAGCCATTCCAAAGCGCATGCTGGTTTGCTAAGGGTGGAGTGGGAGAGTGGGCGAGAGGGAGCAGCGGAAATTAGTTCCGGAAGGAAGTGAATAGGTGAGGAAGTGAGTGTGCCAGAGGATAATTGAATACCAACAGGAGAGAAAACGATTTAAACGAGAGGAAGTGACAGCAGGGCACACATCGAGTGAAGTGACGTGGCAAAATTGTAACTAGCATTCTGTTGGCACTCGTTACCGCAAACAGGCTAGCATACATGTACGTATATGTATGTGTATGTGTTGGTGTATGTATTTTTATATCTTGAATTGAATTATAATAGGAGAGAAGTGGCTGAATGGGGAGATACACACATTTGTAAAGACAATTCTTAAATAATAATCATATAAATTAAAAAAACACAAAAACAAGAGAAAAAGAAAAAGCATAGAATATAGCGAGATGAATTACATTATGGCATGATGGAGAAGAGAGAAAAAGAAGAGAGGGGAAAAAAGTAACGAGATCTGGAAATGCTGCTGCTTCGACTGTTATCACGCTGTTAATAGCATGATACGCCATTTTGTTAAAAAAAAATTTTAATAAAAAGAGAAGAAAATTACGCAGTATCTTTTGCAATTTTGGCTTACCGGCGATGGGTTGTTGGTGTAGACAGAGCGCTGGCGCACACCGTTGGGCGGCTTGGTGGGCGAGCGCAAGATGTTGTTGATTTTGTCATTCATCTGAGCGCGCGACAAGAAATCCTCTGCATTGAAGATACCCACACGTCCGCTCTTCGGGGTGGTCACCTGGCCGACCGGCTCCTGCATGGAAGTCTCGCAGTCGGACGACTGGCACTGTACCTCCTTGGTGCTGGCCTTGGGCAAAATGGACTTTGACTCGGTCACCATTTCGAATTTGCAACTTTCTGCTGCTTCTCGCTTCTTTTTTTTCTTCAAGTGAGTTCGCAAAAACCGGCGTGCGTATGTATGTGTGTGCGAGAAATTGCAGAATTTTCGACTTTTTAAAATGTGTGTGTGAACAAACTCGAGAACGGGGGAAGATACACGCGCGTGCTGAATGCAGTTTTAGAGTATTTTGCTCGACACGTCACACAACGACTCTGAGAGGAATTAAAATTTTTATTTTTTATTTTTCACTTTACATGAGCTCCGCTCGCTGGCACAATTTTAGAAAGAATGACTGTTCTGATTTTCAGCCGGATGGTCGAAGCCTCCTGTGATGAAACCAGAATTAAAAGTGAAGTTAAATCAGAGCAGATTTCCCATGAAAATCGTAATCGATAGTCAGGGTTGCAATCAAAGAAGTATCCATGTAGTATGGGTGTAGATTAATTATTACTGTAAGATTAAGTATTCATTTTGCTGGTATTATTAAGTATTCTTTTACTGAGCTTTGAAATTTAAATGCTTGATTCTTTAAAAATCAAATCCGATCGGTATTGCCCGTTTCCCAACTACTAAGTACACTCGTACTATAAATTAAATGTATTAAAGGCTGCCGCTGCATTTCCTTCCGTTTAATCCCATTTGAGGCTTTTAGTGTCGGCCAAACGAAGTTAGCCAGCGTCAAAGCGTCAAGCCAAATGGCAAGCATAATTGAATTAAGAAATAGGCTACGCTGCGTCGCTGGGATATGTATGTAGCCTCCCCTCACGGAAGCAGAAGCTTTAAAGCATATTTGAAAATTGAATAGTCAGCCAAAAGAGTTGCACTTTGGCCATGTAAATGTGGGGTGTGCTCAATGGTGAAAAAAAAACTGAAAGTAAGAAACTTTTGAAGTGCTTCCCTTGGCTCGGCTCCGAGACAAGGAGGTTGCAAAATGCCAAGAGTCAGTGTTACAGCTATGAGGCAGAGGAGGTTATGCACGGAGGAGCCTCATCATGGCTTGTTACTGCTGAGGCAGAGTATCGCATATCTGTTCTTCCATTATGCTTTGCCTTGTCAGTTGAAACTTCGATGATGTTCTGGCATCATCTTTATGTACGTGTATGTTGAAATTTGCATATGGTACATATATTATAGTATTAGGGATTTTATGCTTATATATCTATACATATTGGTTCATGTGTGTACAAGTTCTATTGGCATGTATATTATTTACATATTTGTACATATGTACATAATATGTATACATATACAATTTAGATTGTTGGAAAGCTGTTGACAAATTAGCCGCGATATTTGGCAAGCCCTGAAGGTCGCTTGTACCCCCGGTGAGGCAATGAAAATTAGCCTAGACGTCACATGTCTGGTGTCTGGTGGAATATTATTGTTTACCCAACTAGTATATCGTATATATCGTACATCGTAGAGAACTATTGTTGTACGGTTCATTTCAGTTCAGTTCAGTAGCTTTCCTTCAAATGGAGAACCCTGAACTTCTTGAGAATCGATTGACAACTCTATTCTCATCCTTTCGGATGATTGATTTTGGCTAGGAATAGTTGGCTTAATGAGCGCATTGACTCCGTGCATTTGGCCATCGCTTCCCACGCCGAATGGCACAGCAAATTTTCGCATTTTCGCATAAAATTTCTATCTCATTTTGTTTGTGACATATTTGAAATTTATTTTCGGCGCTGACTGGTCATTAAAATGCTGCCACCAGCGATGCTGCTGTTGCAGCTGCATTTGCATTTGCATCCCACGCATTGCATTGACTCAGTTTGAGAGTGAAAATAAAAAAGAACGGTTGGAAAATACATACCGTATTTATAGAAAATGCAATATGGTTGGGAGCTGAATGAAATACGGAAACTCATTTTTAAAAATCTACAATTCATCGGCCGGGCTCCACCTCCTCCTCTTTTGTTGTCACTTTCAGCAGCCGCTAGCGAACAAATTGGTTAACCTCCTTTTTTTTTGGTAGTATGTACGAGTCCATATTTATGGTTCATAAATATGAATGTGGGATTTTCGTCGAGTAAAATACCAATCGGTTGACCATTTATGGCAGGCAGAGGCAGACAAAAGGCTGTGGCGAAAGCAGCATTGAGGTAGATTTATATTTTTAACTACTAGTTGATTATTGCTAGCCACACTTTAATTAACTAGATTTCCATTCGAAAAATGAATGTGTAAACGAATAATATAGTATGCCACAGAAATGCCAGTGGCTGCCAGCACTGCGCTGAAATGTTCTATGCTCCAAGAGGATTTCCACTCGGTCGAATGCGAAATGTGGAAAAACTATTTTTGTCGACCCAAGAAAACTCATGAAAGTGTCAGTGAACTTTGGCGCAGACAAAGCTGCCCGAGATTGGATGGCATGGGATGGGGATGCACTGAAGACTGTTGCAATCGCTGACGTCATTGACGTTGGAACAGAGCCGTCATCAGCAGAGGCAGCAGAGGGAGGCACACCCAGAGCACCCAGAGCGGCAATCAGATTGATGCGAAACTTATGGCATAATTGAAATGGTTTTAAAAACCCATTCTTAATGCATCTGTGTGTGTTCTCGTCTTCCCTATTAAATCCTTTGCCATTTGCATTAAAAACAATTAGCGCCCGCAATGCCACTTTTCTTTGTCGACAGTGGGAGAGGCGGGAGCCTCCGGTTTGGGATGGGGGATGGGGGGAAAATTAATTGATTGTCAAGATGAGGCAAAGGCAACAAATAAATGTGTCTGGTCATTCAGCGGGCGATCTTTGTTGCCACACACTCTCATATAGAGTAGATAATGCCGCGTCGTCTGTCAGCTATGAAATTACATTCACACATATCCGTATACACATACTCGCTTATGGTGGAATATCTTGCGGACTGGACGCGGCACTGGCACGCGTCGCCTGGCTAAAAGCCTCGGCTTGACTTCCATCAATATTTTGGCATTCCTGGCATTTCCCTCATTCCTCATTGATACGTGTCGGGCTCGTGAAATTTGAGTGACTGTGCTGTTTACACATCTCAATTAAATGCCAGCCAGGGGCGACATCATCCTCGAGGTGAATCATGGGGATTTCCTGGAAGAAAAAGTTGTCGCCTACGCGACGTACCCTAGACTATGCGTGGGGGACCGGGGGGAGGAGCTATGGCAGGTTGGACAGTCGAATTGGTCTACGGTGTAAGTATGTCTGCCGTGCAGGCCTCTTGACGTCATCTGTCGTCTTGCCACTTGCCAAAAATCTTTTAAACCCCATCCAATCGACCCTTTCCCCTCGCTGAGGTGTGCTAAGCACACTGTGGCCAGAGGGTGTAAGGGGCAGGGGAAACCTGATGCTAAACTTTCGCAAGATTTAATGTATGCTGGCGCGTTGCCCGCATTGTCGGGCCACATTTCACGCTTCATTTGCCAGCGACAGACGGACGGCCGGTGGACGAACGTACGGACGGATGCCGGCGGTGACGTTGTTGTGTCGGATTTGATTTTGATAAAATAGGCCAAAGTGCTCATCAATAATCATTTCTGTAAAAATCCGTGAGCAAAGCAATTATTTTTACAAAATGAACGCCCATTCTCCACACCATTCAGGGCAGGGCAATTCATTTTCTGTGTGCATCCTTCACACATCAAAAAGAATAATAATTTTTGGGCTATATGGATATATGTATGTATGTACTAAATATATATATTTAGTATATTCATACATCAGATGTTAAGATGTACATCTCTCTAACGTTCAGGGAATCTAAATTTTATTATATTTTATTTCTTAATTTAATTCAATGCTTCAATTATTTAATTGCAATTTCCTGAATGGAAATGAGAGCTGGCATTTGGCTTCATATTTTATTCATTGATAACCCAAAAAATAACACAAATGAAGAAATTGTATGTGTGTAAATATTATGCAAAGAGGGAAGGAGACATGGACGTGCCTCTTGGCAGCTTCCACGCCCACTTGCCGAAACGTGCTCCACATTTCCAGGTCGCCGCTGCGGCAGTCGCTTTTCATTACACATTCCCCGCACTCCCTTTGCCAGGAGAGAATGAGGAAAGGGCATAAATCAAGCGACTTTCACTCTGCCCGGTTCCGCCATCGGCTGCTTTATCTTATTTTTCGATTATTCTTGTTGTTCTTGGTTGATTTTTAATTTTATTTTGTATTATTGTTATGGGGGAATTTTGTCAAAATGATTTTTATAACACATACGCAGGCACTTACATTTGATGGGGGGGTGCCATGCATATACGACCCATAACTGAATATTTATCTGTCCGTGTGTGATTTTACTGTAGGTGTTCTCGCATTCTTTCTTTTGGTCAAAATAAATTTCCTTTTTTTAATGGTACAGTCACCCAGTCCCATTCCCAGGCAAGGTGTACAACCCACACAGACACAACTTCAATGCGACTGTAACTGTAACTGAGAGTGCGATTGTGACTGTATGCAGTGCCATGATAATGGGGAGATGTTGCAGACAAGGGTTCCATAGTTTCCGGCACGCATTTTACTCGCTTTGTGCCATTATTTTCCATTCCCAGAAAGGGGAAATGGCAAAAAGAACAGAACGATACCAGGAACCCAGCAGACAGACTGCTGTCCAGACCGACCAGGGGGTTCAACGCACTGACGGAATTCCCGGAGTTGGATTGGGGTTGGGACTAAAGACAGCCATTGTCGAATGGCAATTGGCAATAACCAGACCAAGGAATTGCAATCGGACTCAACTATTGCCGATCCCACAACCAAGGGAGCGCAGCGCAGACAAGACAGACAACCCGCTGACTCAGAAATGTGGACCCCCCTCTCCAACCAAAACTGTCAGCGTTTATCTGACGGCGTCCCCATTTCAAGTCGAGTAAATTTACAATGTCTGCAAGTGCACACCTTTTTTTATGCCCTGCCAGAGGGTAGTTCGATTCCGTTCAGATGTTTGACAGCAGAATCTGCCGAAGGTATCCTTTTGCTGAATACAAATAAATCTAAATCACCAAAATCGATTGCTATATCTTGTATGATAGTCAAACCTAAACGAACTCTCTGAAAGGGTATTTAGCTCTGCGGCTGCTACCTTTTCCTTTTAGTTTTCTTTGAAGAAATTCCCCAAGCTCACTGTGGGGGCTGGTGAGCTGTAAATAAGAACAAAGTGAACCACAGCCGCCACCCATTTCTGGTGGTTCTCCGTTGTTTATGGCCCGCTGTGGTGGCCAACTGTCAAGTGAGCATCAACCCACACCTCCTCCGTGCACCTCGTGTTCCACCCACAAGGGGGCACCTCAGTTGGAACGCCGACTGGAGGAATGCTTTCAACTTTTCTTTGGGTGGCTCGCAATTGGGATCAAGTCAATATTTGCAGAGTAAAAATTACTTCCGGCCGAAACTCGAGCGTTTCTTAAGTATGTCCCATCCATCCATACAATCCAATCCAATCCGCCACGCTCCACCAGAATGGATGTTTGCATTAATTTATAAATGAAAAAATAATTGTTTGCATGGCTGTTGTTACCCCTGCCACTGCTGCTCCTGCTGCTGCTGCTGGCAACGTTTTAATTAGGGAATATTTAATATTGCGGCTAGAGGAAGTTGGACAAACGAAAAGGTAACAGTTTCCTATTGTGGCCTTTGTTTTGCACACTCGTATTTGATGAAGTGGCAGGAATGTCGTATCCCTGGCAATTTCATATTTTTTGGTTAGTGTAATTTGCCATTACAAAAAGGAAAATGTTTTCATATTTGTTCATATCGTATATTGGATTTAAATCGTCTTTTTGTCTTTTTTCACGTACCGTACCCAGATTTTCAATTTCCATCTGTACCACTTGCTCTGCCATCCATCTAAAACTTTATCAGAACACATGTATGACGGATAGGTTTAACCGTTTTGACTGCGATGCCATCCATATCTACGAGTATGTTCATATACCACCATGGCGTAGACGAGTTTACATTTTTTTGAAATTCAACGGGACCCAAGCAGGGGGCGGTACGGGGCGTGCCAGGTCACTTTTCATGCTTCAAGTTGTTGTCGCTGTTTGTTTTTGTCCTCGCGTTCTAAAAAGCGCCAAAAGCGTGTCAAAAAAAAAAGGGAAACTGGAACTGTCGTACACGTACGACATGGCAACTTTAAAGCTATATAAACACAATGAACAGTGTGTCTAAAAGGTGTTTGTACCAAGGAAATCTTATCTATTTAACGTTTCATTTGTAATAATATAAGATGTTTCCATTAGATTCTCATTCTCTCCACCAATTTACTTTAAATTCTATATTCTTTCATTTGCAAGGGAAAATACTTGCGGGATTCACTGTATGTATGTGTCTACTTGCTCTAGACAAGGACTCAACAAATTTTCTGATTTATTGGGGCGAAATCCAAAAAGGCAAAGCTAACAAATCGCTCTCCCGCTAGAAGTTGAAGTTAAATTGAGTTGAGTTGGTTGTTTGGGCAATTTAAACCTAGATCTAGAGAGTGAAATAAACACAAATACGTATGAGCTGATGGGTTCTACATATCTTTAAATGGCTCAGCCTTCTGCGAATGATTTTGAATAATTTTCGTACGCATTTTTGGCAAATTTCGCACTTGAATTTTCGTGTTTCATAGCGTAAAGCTGTCAGCGGGACCAATAGACAAACACAATTAGTTTTGAGGGGGACAATAACTGAAAGTGCCATTAGCTGGAATATATATTTTTGATTCGATTCTGATGAGGGACATCGTCGGCATGGATATGCCGGAAGTGGGAGCATGAGCAAGCCTGGTGGACGGTCGCCAGACAGCGCGGCATCCAATGGTGAGAGCCTAAAAGCCTGGCGGTCGATGCAATTACCGCCGTGGCCTGCGGTTTCACCTTCAGCTTTTAGACCCCAGCCTTCGGGCTTCCATGTCAATAATCTGCAAAAACCACGCAAAAAGTTTTTAATACGATTTCGGTGGCTGTCAAAGGATGTTACAGCCCTCTGGCCACACTAATTAGTCATATGCCCTGTGTGTGTGTGCTGTTCCTAAAAGCAGTTTAATTGCCTGCCGGGGCACAACGAGAGACAAAATGTCAGCACAGATTGAGTTTGAACTTTTTATTCCATACTTTTGGAATTGCCTTTGGCCTTTGTATGGACAACGCTCAAGCTACTTGCAGAAGCAAAGGCGATTAGATAACAGAATGAATAGGCCGAACCCGAATGCGAAACTATAGCGATTGCCATGACCCGTGCTGTGGGCCGTATTCTTGCCCGGTACAATGGCATTGTGGATGCCGCTGCTGCTGGCCGAGCCACCCGTGGAGTTATTGATGCGTCCGTTGTGACCATTGCACAGATTCTGTTGGCAGGAGTTGTAGTAGGTACGGAACGATCCGTCCGGCGTGTTTCCATTCGGCATCTGTCAAATGTCCGTCAATAAATACATAAAGGGTGCAGTCGAAAGGGATAGTTGGGCCAGGCGCCACTCACCATTGGCTTATCCTGGCAGTCACGTAAAAAGGATATCACTTTGCTCGCATTGCGCTGAAAGAGAACGGAAGAACGTTAGAATAAAACACGGGCTGTGGAATCCTCCACACGAGCTAACTTTTCGAGCGGCTGATTAATGATATTGCCGGGCATTCATCACACTTAGGCATGCACTTGAAATTATTTTATTTCTGCCTTGCTGTTCTATGAATGGAATTTAAATGTGGATTTTTTATATTCTTACTGAAAAGGGGTTTCCACAGTAGTTGATTGCCTGCTCAGCAAGGCTGCAGTGGTTTCACCATCAGAGAAATAAAGAACAGAATATATACTTTCCCTCAAAGTTCACACCAGGGAGTCGCAGAGTCGCAAAAACTTTTAATTGCCACGAAGCAGTAAACAAACTGCATGGAATATGTAGTCCTATGTGATGTACTGTACCCTGAACGCAGAGGACTCGCATCTTAATCCCAGCTAGGCCATCGTCTTTGATGCCTACCAAATTGAATCAGCAATTTTGGGACTTCTAATGAGGCGCCTGCAAATTTTAAAACTCATCTGGTTAAGCAAACAGTGAGGAGGGCGTGCGGTGTGACTCAAATAGAGACAACGTTGACTTTGTGGGCCCATGTAAGCCAGTCTTAGCCAGCGCCAGTGCCAGTCCCTGCCCCAGAAAATCCTCTGGGTGTCGGTGGTTGTGTGCCAGCCTGTATGTGTGCGGCTTTTTATACGCCGTACTGGCTTTCCATTAAATTATGGTAATGGATTTTTTATGCAGTCTGTTTTTGGTTGCCTCCTGGCTTTTTGGGTTGTTTGTTATTTTACTGCCGCTCGCTCTTTTGTTTTTGATTTGAGCGAACTGCTTACAGTGTGAAATTAAAGCGGGAAAAGCTTTCAATAGCGTGAATAACAATATAGGACTCGGACAGCAAACAAGGATGGGCGCTTAGCAAGGGCTCTTCGTCAAGTGCTTGTCTTTGCATTTAATTGCAGCCAGCCGACACACACACACACCCACAGCTGACACTCCTGGTCAGCCGCAGACAAATGAGAGAGATTGTTCATACGCCGCGTGGCCGTGCGTGCGCCAGGTCGGAATTTCAATTAGTTGGAGTATTATACATAGCTCTGCTCTGCCTCTGGCAAGAGTTAGTTAATGGTCGATTTCTTTTGCTGTGCAGCTCTACGTGAGAGTCGCTAATTTCAGTGGGGAGGAGGGGCGAAACTTTCGCAATGGCAACATTTTGGGCAAACAAAGTTGCTCGCAAAAACCAGTAGCGGTGCATAAAAATCAGGCATTCCATGTACTACTTTGTTGCCCTGCCCCACCCCAACAGCTGCCAAGCGGCAACTACAACTGTATGTGCGAGGCAGGGTGCTGAGCTAAAACGTGAAGAGTTAAACGCCTCCCAATAGCCGTGGAGGCGGGTAGAGCGTGTCTGGAAACATTTGCAGCACGTTCCACACCGACTTTTTACGACCACTTTTGGACAGGAATCACACTCTGGGAAAAACGGCATCTACAACCACGTTTCCGAAGCTAGATATGAGATATTTTCTATTTTTTATGGAAGATCTTTTAATATGATTAAAAAAAATGCTGAACATAAAACTTTATAATAAAGTCAACTGATTTTAGGCAAAATTAAATTAGTTTTTGAGAATTGGAGAAGTTTAAGTACGCGTTTCCTTTTCTCAGTGTTGTACTCACAATCGACTCCTGCCGCATCGTGAGGCAGTATTTCTTGTGGCAATTGAGCACCTTCACGGCACTGGCGTTGGTCACACAGGAGTCATCACTGTAGCCGTCCAAATACGTGCAAACATAGCATTCGAGTGCTGCAAGAAAGATAGACACAGAGAGAGAGAGAGAGAGCACAGAAAGAGCGAAAGAGACAAACAAAATGTATCAGAAAATTGAACGAGGTCATGACGCTAGTTGCTGCGCTGCTGCCTTTCGCTTTCGTTGTTTTTCAATATGAATTCAAATGTGATTTTGATGATGATGATGATCATCATCATCATAATCATCATCACGATCATCATTTGTGCATGTTGTCGCTGTGCTTTTCTTAGAATTTATTAATAGCCCCAACGGCCGCAATAACAACAAACATGAGCTTCTATCTATAAAAACACAATAATTAATTGAATTAAAGTGAGAATTTTGGCAGCAGACTTTCTGTCTATTTGCCAAGTGGCACGACAACGTCCTCGACATGTATCGCCCGTACCCACATCCCCCACATCTGTATGCACAGAGATCTATTCTAAATTTGAATCTGCCTTTTTGTGTAATAACAATGACGTCAATGGGCCCCCCCCCAGAGATGTGTAAACGGACCGATGACACGAGACTCTTGGCAACACTCTCTGGCCACAAATGAAAAAAAAAAAAAAAATAGATCGCCTTCGGGGACCAAATCAAAAGCCTCCACAATTACCAAGAATTGCGTTGGCTTCGATTTGCTATTTTTGTAGAGATTTTGCATTTTGAGTTCTGCATAAAACTTGATTCTTGGCACGCTTAGGTACGGTTCGCGGTATCAGAAAGAATGGGAATTAATTATATCACCTCGGTCGCAGTCATAGTGGGCTCAAATCAGGGAACATTTGTGTAAATATTTTGTGATATTTGCTCTAGATAAGTGGCATTGTACCACACTCATTCAAAGTAGTATGAACAGCAATACAAATCAAACGATCTAACGATGTTTGCTGAAGATACGGCAGATATTATATCAATGCATTGCGAAGTGAATTGGAATGACAATTCCAGAAGAAATTTATTCCTCGAGACATACTCTTCAAATAATAGGGACACTGCCCCACTGTACAGGGAATAGCCAAAAACTTTGCACTCAGAGATCTTTGAGAAATGATTTGTATCATCTTTTGTGTGGCAATCAATAAATTTGAATGCGGTCATAGGCGAGTGACGTCGACAGCTGAACAGAACGGAACAAAACAGAAAAGACCAGAAAAGAAATGAAATGAATTGTGAGCTGAGCGTTTTTCCCAAAAGTGTAAGAATAGAATGGATGGCAAAGTTCTGTTGAATCAATTGGAGGTCCCTGTCCATGTCGAGAGCAGATCCATGAGTATGCCAATTGTGCCAAGAACATTTCAAAATTTACCTGATTTTTTCTCGCTAAAATGAGGGGGACTGAGGAGACTTATGAGTCGTTGAACACTACATTTCGCCATAAAACAGCTAATTAAGTTAAAAAGAAAACGAGCTGCTAAGTGAACCACTCGAGAATGATTGTTCGAACGATGATGGGTTGGGGTTTGCTTTCGGTTGGGTAAGGTTAGGTCTGCTTTTGGGGAAACCCTCCGGCAGGCGGGTGGACAAACCGTTTGTGGGGCCCGGCGACAGTAAGGCGAAGCAGAGTCCCATCAGTAAAAGGGATTTTGACACCGCAGACATCATTTCCATACAGTCGCGCTTTGAGTGTTTTCTGCTTTGACTTCTATTGGTTTCAGGGCTCTGACAGTTGGAAGCGCCTTTGTTGACGGGCAGACGGACGGGCGTGCGATGGGTGCGCGTTGGCGTTTGCCACTTGACTGACTGACTCAAGCGGAGTTCGATTGCTGTCCAAGATGATTGACTTGACACTTGAATGATGTTTGCCCAAGCGCGATACACAATAAACACTACTCAACACATGCTCCTATCTTATCGGGTTACCGATAAAGAACTCTTGTTTTTCTTATTCTGAATGCAACTCGATTTGAACTGTAATTATGGGAAAACATTTCCCTTGTATTCTTGTATCGATTCCAGCCTGACCGCTATGTACCCGGCTCCCCCATATTTCGCGACAGCAGTCCAGCGCGCCCCGCCACCTCAGCCTGTGCGGCGCCTATAACAGCTGCGCCTGCTCCAAACACCTCCAGGAGTCGCACCAAAGGTACGTACACACGTTGTCCCTGGCCTGGCACGCCACAAGACTCATTTTCTGGCTGATAGTTGACACACTTTTCGCGACATTCGGGTAAATAATGTACAGCGAAAATATGCAAATGGTTGTGGCCATATAATTTCCGGCTTCTGTCAAACTTTCTGCGATTTGTAGGCCAAAGTCTGTGCTTGAGTCGACCTCTTTTTTGGCACTCGGGTTTCTTGACCTTCTTGACAGACGACGCTGGATACATTTTACTTGGAATTTGGGTTGCCCATCCGCCCGGTGGTCATGGAGTCTATGAGTCCAAAAAAGGGATCCAAAGTTTTCCATTTTCTTTTGCATTTGTAATTTTTTCGACTGAAAAGAGTGCACAAAAGTAATAAATAAATCAGGGATGGGGAATACACTTGCCTTCTATTGAAGCACCTATTTGGAATCTCATTGAGTACGCGTTCGGATAAACAACAACAGGAGCCGTCGGTCCGACAGCGGTACAGTCCATTCCGTCGTCCACTTCCCGCTCAATTAATTGTGGAATGGAATTCGATTATTATTATCTGAATGCTGTTTGATTGTTGGCTTTGTTTCCACGGAAATTTAGCTTTGTGTTTACGTGCAAAAATCTGCCACATCCCCTTCCCCAGGCTCTGGGAATAGGGAAAGTCCCCAGCGGATATTGCCAGCCCGAGCCACAGTCCCGTCCCGTCCCGTGTCCCACCTCCACTTCACATGGAATATAATCGAGCAACCCCTACTGGGACTGAGTCACTTAATGGCGCAACATGTGAGCGACAAATGGGTGGTGGAGGTGCGGTGCCCCTGTCACGCTATAGTTTATCGATTTTATTTGTTGATTTAGGACCCAAGTATCGGAGGCGGGTTGGTGGGGCAATTCTTGTGGCCAATTCAGTTGAATTGTGGCCTTTGATGAGCTCTACTGATATGCGGCGGTGAGGTCAGACCGGTAGCCCTTCGTGTTTGCTTGTGCATTTCTGCCAGACGGAAGTAATCTGGGAGCAATCTTGGAATCAGAATCCGCAACACAATCCTTGACTTAAACATCCTCTTGATCTCTATCTCTCTGTCTCTGTCGTAGGCATGACGGCGTCCGTAACGAATGCAGCACAGAGCAGCAGCAGCAACACCAATTCCATCGCCAGCAAATCCCGGCCACCCGCCTGCTACATGAGCACCCGATCGGCTGCCATGATGGCCCTGGCCTTGGGCCAAACATCCGGGGGCGGTTCCAGTGGCAGCTCCAACATCAGATCCTCGTCCGCCCAGAAAACTTCCACTCCCGTCCTCTCCCAGACCACATCCAGCCCGAACTCTTCGCCGCGTCCCAACAACCGGCACGTCCCGAATGTTGCTTCACCCACCACCAGTGACGCATCCAGGTCGAAGCCAGCAACCCCAACACCAACGCGGGCAGCAGTGGTCGCAGCTCTGAATGGAGGGGGAATCTTCTCCGGGGGCAGCAACTCCAGCGGGTCGGACAACGATGGCTTCAGCACTTCCGGCTCGTCAACGGCCACGGCTCTACGGCGGCTATACTTTAAGAGCGGTCGCAGCATCAAAAACAAGATCAATGCCTCGACATCCTCATCGTCAGCGACGCCAATGAACGGCCTGCCCCTGAATCCCGTGTCCAGTGCTTACCACAATTCCGTGAGTGGATGCGGACCCGCGATGCACAGCATGGGCGTCGCAGGGGGTGGAGTGCCCAAGGTGAGTGTGGAAAAGTCCTTTGAGTGCCTCATGTGATGTGGTTGTCCTTGCATGACTTGCAGCTGGTGGTTATGGGCACTTCGTCGGCCTCTATTCCGGACACCAACATCAACACATCCACGGACTCGGCCTGCACTCTCATCACGAACGTAACCCACACGGACACCTCGGAGACCTGCGATTCTCTGGACTTGGGTAGGTATTGATTGGTTGATGGATGTCCTGGCTAAAGCCAGGGCAACAGCCAGAGCTCGTTTAATTAATCAACTAATCAATCGGCTCCCCGTCTCCAACTCCACTCTGTTTTTGCATCTATTGTTGGTCAACCAGGCGACAACTCTGGTCCCAGCGAGCCGCTTTTCAGTTCACTGGAGGAGCCGCTACTCACCGCCATTCAAATCGATTCAGAACACGAGACGGGCTGCTATGGTGCTGCTAATGGACGCTCCCGCGTCGGCACTGAGCTGGAACTAACGAGCTGCTCACGCTACCCGCCCAGGCCCGACATAAATCTGCAGGATAGCACAGAGGTAAGCACAAGGATTCATTAGAGAGTGATTGGATGGATATTTTACAGAGTACTTCCGTGTTTTGCTCTCTTTAATTGCAATTTTTATAAAAAGCTAAATTCCCATGTTCCGATTTACAGCACTCACCAAAACATCTTTTGCAACACTGAATGCGATTAACATCTGTTTCTGTTTTTGCACTTTCTCATTTCGTTTTTCCGAATTCAGAGCCAAGAGTCCTGTTTATCCATCCTAACGGGCGACCAATCGTCCACCACTCCACTGCTCTCGTCACAGCGACGCCAACCGGCAAGTGGCCATTCACCCGGCAGCCGAAGGGAGGAGCGACAGCCCAGCACGGCGCCACCGCCGACACGGGTGCGGGACCACTTCACCTTTGATCCCCCACCGTCACCCAAGTCGGCGCGCAGCAGCGAGAAGGCCCGCAGTCATTTCCCATTCAAGGACGAGCCCCAGGGGCACGCGGGGCCAACTAATGGAGGAACAGGCAAAGTAGTTGGAGCCGGAACAGAGGGAGGAATTGGTGGGAGTCGCACGGTGGCGGCCAGTGAGGGCGATGAGGAGGATGACGAACGCAGCGGGGCAAGTGCCGCCAATCGCAACAAGAAGCTACGGCCCAGGGAGCGTGACCCAAATGCTAATGACAGCTCTCGAACATACATATCGCCCGGAGTATCGCCATCGAACAGCCGGCGCAGCAGCCCCAAGCGGGAGAAGAAGCGCACCACACCCTCCGCCTCCACGGGCGCCATCGCCAAGGTCAGCTCGGCGCCGCCCACCATGAAGGATGGCCACTTTTTCAGCTCTTCCGGCAAGCACCAACAGCAGCGGCAGACCCCCCAGCAGCTGTCGCCCTCATCCTCGCTGACAGCCCAGCAGAGGAAGTACTCCTCGAGCTCATCGAGCGGCAGCAGCGAGCGTTGTCTGCGGGAGCTGGCGGCGGCTCCTGGCACCATGTTTCCGTTCGACCGAGAGGCCCTGGACCACGAGAGAATCCAGAGAGAGTGCTTTGCCCCCAGCTCGTCGACGGCCAGCGTCAGCAGCGACTCGGACGAGGCAGAGAGCCGTTCGGTGTACGAGCGGAAGCTGGGGTCGGACATTTTCCAGCAGTACTCTCGTCTCAGCCAACAAGAGCAACTGCAGCAGTATCTCCACCAGGAGCAACGGGAGTGGGAAAGGGAGAGGGACAGACCACTGTCCCGCAAGAACTCGAAGCGTATCCGGCCGGATTCGGTGATCCATACGACTATACGGGAGAACCAGCAGTATGTGCCGCAGTCGGACGCCTTCTATCCCCAGGCCAAGTCCTCATCCTCGCCCAGCGACCACTCATACGCGGAGCTAAACAAGTTCGACGACATTGCCAACAAGTTCGAGCAGATCCCGCCCAAGCACGGCTCGAGCTCCACCCTCAACCTGCATATGCCCAGTCCGGGCAGCGATTCCGGCCAGCTGGCGCTGAGTCCAACGGACGCCACCCGCAAGCGCTCGTTCAAGAGCAAGTCAAAGAACAGACCCAAGGAGGAGTACGGCTTCCAGCTGGAGGAGCGTGGCACCGGACCCATAAACGTGACAGCCAATCCCATGGAGACGGCTGCCGTCTGCAAGCAGCCACGCGCCACCATCGTTGTCCAACAAGTACGTACACTATAGCCGTAGTATACCCGTACTATACCCGTACGCGTAATCGTATGAGTGGAAAGCGGAAAACTCTCTTTTCTGTTCCAGCTTCGTTCTGTCCGCTCGCCGTTCGCTGTTTATCGGTTTGCCCCCCAGCTGCGGCCAATCTCTTTCTCAGTCTCTCCCGATTTTCCTGGTCGCTCTCTCTCTCTCTCTCAATATATCTTTATACATATCTATTTGTTCTCTCTGGCCGATGTTCGCAGCTCATAAAAACGATGCGCAGGCGGCGATCGATTCAGTAAAGCAAAGCAACAGTAAAGCAACGCATCGTCTGGCATCGTAACGGAATAATCATTTTAGTCGCGGCGTAGTATCGATTACATATCGTGTTTTTATTGATATTCTGTGCAGTCAATCTGTAGTCAATCTCCTGTGCTTAAGTTATCTTGTCGCAATCTGTTCGCTATGTAAACTCGGTGTGCGCTCAGAGACACAATATTAAAAGGCAAATAATTTATTCACTTAGAAAAGTAGTCGAACATCTGTGGTGACAGCTACCAACAAGCCGGTTCCCGTTCTAAAATCCCCATCAAAGCGTACCAGTGAATCATGGCGCCCTTCTACAAGCGCATCTGCCGCAGCCTGTCGAAGCGATACAAGGAGGTAACTAATAGTACGCACCCGTAAACCATAGAGACACCACTCGTAAATCCCCGTCGGCGCCACCAGGTTGATTGATTTTTCTAATGAGTTAACAACGACCAACGAGGAGGGGATTGTGGTGCATTAATGGCCAACGAGAGCGTGATAGATAAGATAGTAGCTATTGAAACCCTGATCCTGCCAAAACAACACCAACAGCCTCGATATGCGCAATTTTATCGACTGCCTACCCCACGCGGCTCTGACGTCAATTTGTGACAATCAATTTGTGCTCTGCTTGGGCCTCTGATACTAGTAGTAGAGATTGTCATTGGTTATTGCTCACACAAAATTGATTAACCTAGAGATTTATACCCGTACGTGTTGCAAATTGTGATCGGGTGACGGTCTACCTACCATCCAACCATTATTATATCTCAATTTCCAATCATTTCCATTCCGATTGAAATTCAATAAGTCCGAGCTTTGTGGCCCACAATGGGTTTAAATGTTGCCAGTGACATGGAAAAATACAAGTCTCTATACTACGTACATACATCTGTACATGCTTATGTATTCTCTGTATTATATTGTTCATCTCGTGCGCCTCAGATGACAGCTGTCAAAATAAACTATAGCCAACGGAACGCGGGAGGCATAGGCACAGTTGCCCAGTAGTCTATAGAGTCCAGATATCGACTGCGCTCACAGGTTGTTTTCGCTTTATTTATTTACTTGTTTAAATCAGATCATAATAAAAACATAAAAGCAAAGGCCGCCGCCAGCAGCTGAAGGGGTGTGAGAACTTGTCATGGGCCCAGACACAGTCACAAACACCGATGTACATGTAGATGTACAGATACTCGTACGAATTGCTGTGCATAAATGTAGATATATGTATATATGTATGTAGGTTTAACGATTTCATTGTAATCCTCAGTGAGTTAGCATATTGTTCTGAGAACTTTTGTCCATGTACTTGTACTATGCGCAGTCGAAGTACATACATACATATCACATGCATAAAGAGGGAATCATCTGGGCCATATAGATATATGTGTGTAGATACTGAAAGATTATAGATGTTCTGCCCGAGAGCATTTCCTGGTGCACAAACAGCCACAACAACAACAACAACATTATCATCATCAATACGTATAGAAAACAGAGGAGAGAGAGTGAGAATTAAAGCGAGAAGAACAAATGAGTATTCGTCCAAAACGATTCAAAGGAAGGCACGTCCGGAGCAGAGACTCCGAGTATTCAAATGAACTGTGAAGGCGACTTCCTCTATTAATAAACCCCCAGCCTTCAATTAGGTGTAAACTGTAATTGTTTCTCCCTTAGATCGATAGTCCCAGAAGACTTATATATCTACATAAATTGCTGGGCACCACTGCCATTTATCTTGTGAGCCCCAACACCCGCCAACCGCCACTCACTACCCGAATCAGTTTTACCTTCATCGGGCAATCTTTGGCGAATTATTAGCAGGCACGCACCTCAATAGAGTGCAGCCCTGCTCCACTGGGTGTACCGACCTTGTCGCACTTCTAATTTCCAGCCAACCCCTGTGTGTCCTCACGGTGGAAATGCCACCTTCAGCGTATAGTAAACATCGGCAGCAAGCAAAAATATGCTTTCAGTTTTCCCATTGTCGGGCTTTGCTGTTTCCTATTGATTTTACATTGAGTGGTCAGAGGCTTCCTTTGAGTGCAGGCAGATGTGCAAACGGAAATAGAAGTGCCCGTGCCAGTGCCAATGCATTTGTTTGGGCCTTGGCGGCAGCCATACAGAAACTGTTGCAAAACATGTTTGCGTAGTTTTGTGTCCTTGCTTGCAACTAAGTTTTCACCTGCCACCTCTATGAATTTCAATCACAATCGTAAGCGGAAATTTAAAGCATTTTCCCCATATAAATTGGAACACTAATTACCCATAATTTGTATTATCGTTTTTCATTTCGATTTTCTTTTTATATTGGTTTGCCCCAACCTTCAAAGGTCAATACTTTCAGCAGTTTTGCCACTTTCACTTAGCGCTGCGGCCATTCACTTCAACGAGTATTAGTTGGGGAAGACAGCGCCGCAGCATTGTTAAATGATAAATGGCCAAAACGGTTATTGACTCTGCCCAGCCGCAGACGTCCCTGTCAGGGCCGCCGCCCAACCAGCTAATTATAACGCAGAAATTTGCCAGCAGAAATATTAGAAAGTTCAGCAACTAAGACCAAGTGCGGGGCTGTGGTCAAGGACTCGATTAGGCTCACCTCAACCTAATCGAATGGGGCGTTTTGAACTCGCTAATTGCCCCCCGTTGAATGTTGCGTATACTTGATAATGATTTGGTTGCCCTGTTGGGGCCTGGGGGCGGGCCAACGTCAGGCCCCTGGGGTATGGGGTTAATCGACTGCTTTTGAGGGCAGTGTGTCTCTGGGCAGCTTCGTTGCAGTCATTATCATTATCATTATTCCGGAGGCCAATTGGCTTGTAAGTGTCATTTATTGGCTGATTTATGGACCTGCCCCGGGCACCTGCCCCATCTTCTCGGTTTCCTTTTTTATGCCTTCGTGAGCTTCTTTGACGGTAGATTCGGATTCAATGACCCCATTCGAGATGGCGAAGGCTGCTGCATTTGCTGCAGTTGCGTTTCTCTTCAGTTTGCAGCCATAAATAAACTTTTTGCTATAAATAAACACAGAAGCATACGAGTAGTATATATAGAGATAAATGCAGATATACACGTTTCTTTAGAAACATTGAATTGCATTGCATTTCGTTTCGTTTCGTTTCTTGTACTGTTCTTGTTATTGTCCATATGCCTGGCATACCAAAAATAATCATCCTCACACACGGAAAGCATTCCAAGATGTGCGAATAGTTCTATCCAGGAAGGTTATTTACCTGAACCGAACCACACCAGAGTTGTGTGGCAGCTTGCGTGCATCTCCAGACATGCAGCAGGCACGTGTGGGGTGCGAGAATATTTTATCTTGATCAAGTTCTGGGCGCAATATTTCACTTTGTTTCCATCAATCCTCTGTATACAACAATGTTTCCGTTTAATGGGGGGGAGGGGAGGAATTCTTCTGTTTGAGAATATGGCAATTTAACCGAATCTCATACTGTGCCCCTTACAGCATAATCGGCCACACAAACTTTTCACCACCCAAACTTTGGAGCAGACCAAATTACTGGGCCGGCCCCCAACAGGCTTTTTTCGGAGCAGTTTTTTTTATATTATTTTTAATATTCGTGTGGCATGAAAATAGCCAGAAAACCTGCCACCCAGTACCCACCACTCGTTCTTTTAGCCAGATTTTACAGGCGATTGAACACAGAACGGCGTAAAATGGTAGAGCAGGAAAAAAAAAAAAAAACAAAATCCCGAGAAGTGATTTGCATGCATGGCGCTCTTGGGGATGTGTGCGAGATTATTTTTAATATACATTTAGCAAACTAAATGTATTTTTAAACGATGCAAACAATGCCCACCACACTGGCAACGGGGCGATTGGCTGAAGGGTGGCGGGATCGATCGGGTGTGAAATGAGTGCTGGCAGCAGCTTCGCTTCGTTCGGCTCCGCTCCTGTAATATCAATTTAAATTTATGCAAACGATTCGCATAGCTAAGGCTGCAGGCTAAGGCTGTTTTGCTATTGCTGTTGCTGCTGCTGCTGCTGGTGCATCTGTCTGAAAGGCTATTCCAATCGATTTGATTTGATTTGCAATTTGCATTCCGCATAAACACAGATAAACACCCGAGAACCAATTGCATTCCGATCTACCTCCTCCAAGGATTGTTGGAACGTTTAAATGTATTTATCCATCCCGCTGGTACGAGTATTTCTGCCACTTGGCACGTAGGCCAAGCCGTTGACAATTAATTTCCATTGTATTCCTCACTTTCGTGGGATTCTTTTACTGAATTGCTTCGCTTATGAGTTCGCCTGAGTATTTTATTTGTCTGCTTTTGGGAAAATACTGAAAATTTTCATAACACCTCGCCTCGGTTTGCTTTTTAATGGCCAATTCGATTGTGTTCGCGCTGCGTAGTTTTCCCCAAGGGGAGGGAGCTGTAGCTAATCGGATAATCGCGCTCCCGAAAAAGCAGCAAAGGGAGAACTGACTACTGACTAGGGGATACCCATTTAACAGACATACTTTTTAAGCACTTCAAATGCCACTCTTACATGTCAACATTTGGTCACTTAGCTACCACAGCTTCTGCAGATTAATGAAGAGTATTCCTAGGAAATCCTTAATTAAACGAGAGCTGTGTCCAGCCAAAAGCTACCCTAGAACTTGTGTTCTTTATATATACTCTTCCTCCCTCCCTCCTCCCTCCTTTGTGGTTGGATTGCTGTGTATGTGGCAACTTCTTTCATGTTCCACCCGTTCCGATGCAATCTGCTGCTAAGAATACCGGGAAAGAAAAAAAAACAGAAAAGAACGCACTCGGCGATGCACGAAAAAACTATTTTCGGTGCTTGTGTAATGGGGAAAATGGGAAATGGCAGCCGCAAGAAAGAGCTCAAAGAAAAAGAGCAACGTCATCAGCGACAGCAGCAGTAGCATGACCGAAGCAATATTACTCATACGACGCGTGTTACGCGTCGACGCAAGGGGAAAGCGAAGAGAGTGGAAGGGATAGCATGTCGTCATCAGTGAAAGTGTCGCCTCCCTCTCAGCATCGCCAAATAGCTCCCCCGAGCAGATTTAGCCGAAAAGTTTCTCTTGGGGCCACTTAAAATATTTATTTCGTGTTGGTTTCCTCTCGTGGTAGCGTTGTGCACAATCAGAAGGTGTAGGCAAGCGGAATCATTACGAACGCACACACCCACACACACACACATATATATACTGGCATTATTAATTAGCGTTTGCGGGAAATGCAGACAAAGTTTTTCCTTTTCCCAGACTCCCTGATTCTGTCAGGCCTGCCAATAAAATATACAAATTAATTTCGGCAGTAGCCGAATTAATATGTATATACGGGCATGTTCTGTGGGTGTACGCCAAAGGTAGCAGGTAGCAGGCTGTCGGTGTAATTTATGGTCAAAGTTTTTCTGCCCGCGTGAATTTCTTGATAATTTAACCTGGCCGAAATTTATTCGTTTGCGGCCATAAATGATTACCCAACGACAGACAGACATACTCGTAGTTAAAGCCACACTTGGAGAGAGATTTTTCCACAAACTGAAACATTTATTGGCACACGGATAGGGAGGAGGCGGTGAAACATTGGGAGGAGTTCATTAAAAGTGCTATATTAGCCCTCATTAGACCTCGAGTTTAGAGACCTTGCCCAGCGGTTTATTGGGTCGCTTAGGTGGGGGGGTCAGGAAAGTTGCAGGCAGTTTGCCTCGACACGAATGGCGAAAATATTTGAATTTGCAACTGCAGACACGCAATGCAGGTGCTTTTACCCCAGCTCCTATCCAGGGTCTGTTCGAAGTGTGGATAAAGAAAAACTTATAAATCAGAAAACAAGCCCTTGAGTGGCGCTAGAGGGGCCTTGGGGTCCGAGTGTTGCAAGTATTTGTAACGGAAGTTCGTAAGCTGATTGGAACCACTCAATGGAGCCACTCGGCCATGATTACTTGAAGGAATTCTCGTACACAATTGGTGCAAGCCGCTTAACAATTTCGTTGCCCATCTCCCTCTCGCCCACAGCCATCTCTCAGCCTGGACAGCACCGTGGAGACGCTGCTGATCAAGAACGAGGGCGATTTCATCAGCGTGGAGCAGGGCAAGGAGCTGAATGCCCGCAAACGCAACTCCCAGCAACTGGCCCATGCCCCCACCCACAGTCATCATCATCACAGTCATCAAAAGCAGAATCAGCATCAGCAACAACAGCAACAGCAGCAGCACCATCATCCGCAGCAGCACAAGCGGGATGAGAATATGAGGCAGCTGCTGGATGTGACCAACACGCTCACCATTGAGGAGCTGCGCGACTTTGAAATGCGGTAAGTCCATAAGGAGACCGAAACTCAGACCCCCCCACCAACTCCAAAGAGATTACGTTTTATGGTCCGGCTCGAGATTTAATTTCCGATTCCATTTCATTCCCATCGATTTTCAAGAGTCTCTCGTTAAACATTCGGACCAAAGCAATCAAAAGTTCGTACGAGCAGCGCGAACAATGGCAACTCTTTGGCCTTTTATGGCCTTCACCTGTTAGCCATTTTTGCAACATACTTTTGAAGAGGTCGTAACAAATCGAATAGCGCATACGACCTGTTGCCAGCTGCCAGTTGACGCACGCTGCATTCATTTGTACACACATATATGTAGATTCCTGCTATTCAAATGAATTTGATTTGCGAATTTTATACAATTTCCATTCCCACTCAAATGTCTCTGGATAAACCAAACAATTCTTGGGGCACCGCACGTGGCCGCAGCTTCTGTAGTTGATTGTCATATAGCGAAATATTCGAATATTTATATCCCGCTCACCACAGTGGAGACGTTTTGCGGTGAATGTATTTCCATTCTTGACAGCGGGCGACGCCTTGTGGCTGGCTTGTGGTCAGTCCCCAAACCATAGAAACATGCCAAGAACAGTCCAGGTACATATGTATGTCCTTTCGACAAGGACATGTCAGCTGCAGACTCTGACCAGTGGGTGCTGCAGGTGAAGGGTATGAGAATATCTATTTTTGATAACGGCTGCAGCTGACGATGACAGATTTAAATGCCACAAGACAATGCTTATTATGTCTCTTGTTGCTCCAATTTCAGCTATGGCTCACCCCATCACAGCCGCTCGCAGTCGGTGAAGATGCCCGGCAGTCGCGCCTCCGGCAGGCCCAATCAGCTATGTCTCCCCCAACAAAGATCCAGGTAAGACTTGGCTAGCCAGAACCAGAGCCAGAGAGCTATTAACTATTCGCTCGCCCGTTTGCAGAGTGGCTTCCATGCCAAACACTGGTGTCGAGGAGGAGTACTACCGCCTGCGCCACTTCTCCATCACGGGCAAGGGTGTGGTGAACCGCGGTGACTCGCTCAAGAGTCGACGCAGCCGCTCCAACAACAGTGTGGCCAGCTCGAATTCAAGCACAGAGCATTTGACCGCCCAGCAGCAGCAGCAGCAGTTACAGCAGCAGCAACAGATACAGCAGCAGCTGCCTGCCCCCACATCCAACTCTGCCCGGACATCGCTGGCCTCCAGCCGAGAGAGCAGCACCTCAAATCCGGGCAACGGGCCATACAGGTGAGTTCCACTCGCCGAAAAGGTTAAATTCCGGGCAATGGCTAAAGCATTCCGTTTTTGGTTGCAGGGTACTCATGCTAGGAGGTCCGTCCGTGGGCAAGAGTTCGCTGGTCTCGCAGTTCATGACGTCGGAGTATCTGCATGCATACGACACGAGCATTGGTGAGTGGTGCCATTTAATAGCCCCCCCCTAATCATAGCCCTGCCACACAGCATAGCCCCCAAAACACGCGGTACCTGTCCATCCATCTATCTGTGTGTCTGTGTCTGGTCCCAACACCATAACCCCTCACCTTAGAGCGAAAAATGTAGTTCTGTTTTCTGTAAATCATCCGCTGTCATGGCTCCTGCTCCTGTTCATGGTTCTGTTGTGGTTGTCCTGGCGGTTCTGTTTGCCTTTTCAACTTGCTTTTTCCGTTTCATTATCTGTTGATTTGGCTTCTGTGTTGTCCCGTTGCTATTTCGAACTCTTTATTTGGAAATATTCCCTCAAGTTTTCATCTATACGTTTCCGTTGCGTTGCGTTCTGTTTGGTTGCGTTGTGTTGGCGTTTTTGGATATTTTATGAGCGTGCGGGGTTCAACAGAAATTGGCAAAGAGCATATAGAATGAAGAAACCCGGCTGCAATGCAAATAAACTCTCTACATTTTGGACATCTATTCAAATCAAAAAAATGAGTGGAAATTTTTCTCATTCTCTAACAGAAAGTGAGCAAAAATTGCTGGCAAAAAGGCCAATAAACATTTCCATTGGCAAAGAAAAAAATATAAAAATAAAAGAAAATAGAAACAATAAAGACAGAATCAATAAAAACAAATAAAGACAGAAACGAATGGAAATTTTAATAATTTAAAACCAGCATTTGCCTACACCCGCCCGCTTGTCATTTGTCGAAAAAAGTGCAACAAATTCAAATGAAAACTTCTTTTATTTTTGTTCATTTTATAGACATTTCCTCGGAATAGAAACCGAACGCTTGATAGAAATAATTGAAAAATCCCAAACCGATTATGTATCATATATGTATGTATATATATGTATGTATGTATGGTTATAAAGAAATGATCATTTCTGCTCTGTTTCTCTCCATTTCGAATCAAATATATGTATCATTCAAATTCAATTCTCTGTATCCAAATAACCCTACAAAACTCGAACAACAACAACAACTGCAACGATAAAAACAACAACAACAATAATAACAACAACAACTCTGTACATAACAACAAATAAACCGAAATCGTGCTCGAATTCAGATCTAGGCAACTGTGACATACGCATTCATATTGATAAAGCCGCCGACGGTAAAAGCAAACTAATTAACTGATTAATAATCCATAATAACTCTATTAATAATAATAGCGATAATCATGTTAATAGTACTCTTTAATATTCAATTTATTCAAATATCCTCTATATTTATACACCCGAAATGCTTTTCAATTCTACAATACTTTTCCAAAAAACAAACCAAACAAACGTTTTTGTTCTTTATACTCAACCACTGCTGCATTTGCCCTACTTAAGATTTTTCCCCTAATTGAGTTCGATTAACTTACCTAAGCCTCAAGCCCGCCCACCAGCCACGCCCTAGGAATTAGACACACACGCACAACACACAGAAATATCTACACGCGTTCAGTTAGCTGAATGGTTTTACGGGCTTTTCCAATTGTTTGTCAAATGATGGCGGCCTTTGTTTGACTTGTGATTTATGTGCCTGGCCGGCCTTGAGGAATAGAAATGATTTTGCATAACGCAGTGTAATTAATGATTGGTATTGGGTCAACCGTGGGGTTTTAGTGGTCGTTTATCGATCGGAGCGGTACTCAACAAAATTAAATCAATGGTAACGTGAAATGAATAATAATAATAATGGGGAAAGCACTCAACAGCAAACGAGTACTCACATCCGCAGAGCACACAGACAGCACACAGCCCCTGCCTGCATCGTCATGCATCGCATTGCATTTGGAGCCATTAAACACCACATCAAATAGCATACCTTTTGGGGCAATATTTTTATTTATTTTTTGTGCATGCATACAGTTACCATGTGGGACTACCACATACATATACACCTACTCGTATCTGTATTCAATAGCTGCATATTCCTTTTGTTATTGCACTTTCACATTAGCTGTTGCATATCATAATCATAGCTTGACATTATTTCCATCACGAGCTTACTACGGGTATTTCGCATTGCTTTGAGATTAATTCGAATTTATTTATTTGTATATATGTAGATGATGAGTCTGGCGAGAAGGCCGTATCAGTATTACTCAGTGGCGAGGAATCGGAATTAATATTCATCGACCATGGATACACCGAAATGACTGTGAGTACATCCACGCTATGCACAACCCTTTCAATCCAATCCAGTTCAGTCCCCACCCCTCTCCTCTTTGCACCCATTTGTCCACTCTATTCGTGACATTTCATAATGTCATTAACATGCACAGCCATAGAGTAAATCTCACAGCGATACATAAATGTATGTATAGCTACACACAGACCAGCAGCACCATCCTCTGCATACATACATATATAGCTTTTAACTCAACCTCACTCAATGTCAATTCGGTGTCATCTCGTTTCACAGCCGGATGAGTGCTTGACCAACTATGATCCTCATGGTTACTGCGTCATCTACTCGGCTGCAGACCGTAGCAGCTTCACCGTGGCGGAGCAGGTGCTCCAGGTGCTCTGGACCAATCAGAACATTGCGCAAAAAGCAGTCATATTGGTGTCGAACAAGTCGGACCTGGCCAGGAGTCGACTGGTAACATCTGAAGGTAAGTGACATCATACATAAATACACTCACTTGTATACGGAAGTGTGTTGAGGTGGAGATACTGAGAGATTTATCTTTCTCTCCCTCTTCATTAACACTTGAAAGCGCGCTTGATTGGGTTTGTTAAAAATAGATATTGATGTGGTAAATGCTTGGGTCTGTGGGGGGATAAACACAGCCAGGACATACAGCTACGATACACAGCCAGGAGATGGCGACAGTTGGACTGTTGACCTTAAAGTTGGCCCACGCGGGAGTCTCCCCAACCAAACACCCAGCAGCGATTTAAGTGGGAAGCCCTCGTTTGAAGGACACTCCATTTTGTGTGCTAAAGCCCTTGTAGCACTTGACTTTTATATCGGATTCCCCAAAGAGAAATCCAACAAGGTATATCCAAACAGCTCGGGCTCTTTCATCTAAGTAATTCAATATTTTCTGTTAAATTACATTTGCTATTATGAAAATGGGTTGGGAGTGCGTCCAGGGGTGTCCTGTCCTGGAAGGGGTTCACAGGCTAATGCCGGGGAAATTGTTTCAGCGCAAAATTGATTACATTTTGGTCCCGTATGGCATGTGTTGGTCCCAGGCTGGGGTCTGAGCTTAAAGGCACATAGGCCTATTGTTGTAAAGAAGGAGACACCACCCCAGGAACTTCTCTGCCATATTTCTCACCCCCAAAGGGGGGCCACCTAATGCGGCGCCCTAATTTCATAAAGTATTTATAGAATTTTGTATGCCCCTCGGCAATACTTGTAATAAAACGTACGCTGTGGACAAGAATGTCTGGATAAAATATATTTTCATAAATCTATATATTGTCACAATGATTGGAAAAATGATATGCGGAGGGGGAGCTAAAGCCAGAGCAACCAAATACGTCTGCAGTGAGGCATATTTGATTGGCATGCCATATCGTTCAGCTGTTTAAAATATTTATGCGTTTTACGCGTTTTCCGTTTGCACCTTTTTGGCCGTTGGCATATTTAATGATGCCTGCTTCATTTCAGTGCCACTCCAATGATTCAATTTGAGTAAATATTGGCAACAATGTTGTGCCTTTAGTTGGCTTTTAATTAGAAAGCAACCCCATTCGATGCCCCGAGTACATACCCAACCCCAATAGAGAGTTGAGAGCTTAAATCTGTAAAGCCTTTTTGGTTTCCCATGGAGGAACGGGAAAGCATTCTATCAAAATCTAATAAAATTCGCATAGCAATATATTTATATATATGTATGTATGTACATAAGTATATAAACATATCCATATATATTGGACAACTTTCGTCACATCGTTAATAAAAATGTGAGCTTGTCAGTCATAAAATTTGCAGCAGGAGGGTCGCACATGATGTACCTCCGCATGGTAGGAACTTTGATGCTTCAGATTTTACGAGTTGTGTGCACAGAAGGTCCAGATCCAGAGACGTGACTGGGCAGGGGAGTCGAGCCCAGCCCCGTCACCACGTGTTTAGATATAAATCCGTGTCCAAGTTCCGCTTTTATGACCACCAACTCACAGTTAACTAAGCGAAGCCATTTGATTTGATTAACTGGGTAATGGCTGTTGGGTGATGCCGCCTGAGCTCCGCTTAGATTCCTCGGCCATAATTTCCACGCATTTTCACTTAACCTCTCACTCTCTTTCCACCACTTGCAGAGGGCAAGGCCATGGCCACCGCCTACGATTGTAAATTCATCGAAACTTCGGTGGGCATCAATCACAACGTGGACGAGCTGCTGGTGGGACTGCTCTCCCAGATACGCCTCAAGCTGGAGAACCCCGAGAAGTCCAGGTGGGTCACTCGCACTCTATCCCCAATTTATTCCTTGCTAATGTTTTTAACATTTCTCAGGGATCTGTTCCGGAAGCGTTCGATTAGAAAGTCGAAGCGCCGCGCCTGCTCTCCGCTCAACGCTGGCTGCCTGAATGCCAACAGCCCGCTGGGCGGACCTCTGAGCGAGGTGCCCGGCACACCACCAGGAAGCTCCCAAAGCAGGTGAGTCCAGAAAATCCTGAAAGCCTTGGAACGAAACTAATCAGCCTGAACCATCTATTGCAGCCCTCGTAAATATCGCGGCTCCCGAACCTCAACCAGCCTAAAGGTGAAGGGACTGCTGGGACGTGTCTGGACCAGGGATTCCAAGTCCAAGAGCTGCGAGAATCTGCATGTGCTGTAAGCATTAGGATGAGCATTAAGCATAATGCGTGTTTGTTTTCCAGAAAGAACACAAAAACGTAACACTAAACCGAATCCCGAGGATTTCCTATAGATTATAAGCCTCCAAACAATTTCCTAAGTTACAGACTCGATGACTCATTTGTACATATTTTATAATTTTAGTTTAATCGTATACTTTACTCTAGTCATTTCTACATTAAATCCTGTATATAGTTTGCTTAAATATAAAAACCTTACTTATAATTTCTTATGCGTTTCGTTTCTCTTCCCATTGAATTGAGCATGAGTTGGGATCAATTTCTGAACATTATTTATGTATTTATTTTGATTGAGAGAATTAAAAAAAAACCACAACCCAATGGAAACCAAATCAAAAGCAATAATTTTGTAATTTTTGAAAAGTTAAATTTAACTTCCAGTAGAGAGGAAGAGGATAGTTTTATGATGAAATTGTACTGATTTTTTGAAGGTTTGGCACTTGTTCCGGATTGGAATGCCAAATGGAATTAATTGTTAATTATATATGAATGTATGTACGTGTAATGGTAATTTAATTGCATTTTAAAGTCACACAAATATGAATATGATTGTTATTTGAAAACTCTAGATGTAACGTTCAACACACACTTCTCCTCATTGATAACAAAAAACAAGAAGAAGAAGGCAAGAAGGAAACATGAATATACATTGTGCAATTTTTGCTTACATAGAATTAGGAATTTTTGCCATAATTGTTATCCCTTATTTGTTGGACACGCCAGCAAAATATTTTTGTTGCATTAAACAGCAGCAGAAGCCCATCCGTGCACTGACAGCCGGCACGTCCCTAGGTTTCTCATAGTGTATGTATTAGTCGGGACCATTTCAAAATTAAACGAAAAACAATTAAATAATCAAAGAAACACTAGAGGCACGGCACACACAGAGTAGCTGCTGCAGGGTTAACATTAATTTTACAAGCGATTTATGCAGAACGAGAGTCCACAAGAATATTAAGAACGCATTTTGTTGTCGATGTATTAGGAGAATTTTAACTCTGAATGTACCCATTTAAACGTGTTGGAAAGACATAGTCAATCCATTAGCCGTCGTGCAACATACATAATTATAAAAGTCCATTAAATGTCTTATAAATACGAGTATTTGGAGATAAACAAATCCACAAACTATTGCAGCACAATGGAATTTAAAGGAATGATGGTGTCCTATCAAAATATCAATTGGCGAATGGCCCAAATTGTATAATGGAAACCACTTATTAGAACATTGAGGAGGTACACCTCCCACAGTATCAACCAAATACACAAACATATAGCTACATATGTACATATGTATGTATGTACGCACACACATACATTCAATACACAAAATCTTAGAGCAAATATTTAGAAGTAATTTGAATTTTTGTCCAGAAATCGGAATATATTCCCGCTCAATCAAAATTGATGAATTCGAGACGTAAACTAAACTCGATTTGAACGGATTGTACAGAAGATACATACAAACTATGTACTTTCTTGAAGAGAGCAGAGAAGAGAAAGGTGTTAATGAAAATGAGTCGGATACATATTCCATTTTACTCGTACCAATATTATAAATGTGTAATAAGTGTATAATAAATGTGTAAACTTTCAATTTAAATGTTTAAGTGTTTTATTCGTTGAATTAAATATATGTTAGCAGCCACTGTTACGATGGCTGTTTTGGCGTCAGTCGCTTACAGCTCTGTTTTCAGACATTTTTTGTGCTACATAATAAGTTCATGTAAACACCAACAGATGGCGAAATATTTCCATTTCCACCTATCGCATACAGTAACCGGTATTAGGTATATTTCTGACGGTCAGGCGGTATATTTAATCGCTAAAAGCGCGGTCACACTGGGTACGTGGCTTGAAAACAACAAATTCCAAAATTAAAATTTTTAAAGTGCTAAATTTCGTGCGTTTGGCCAAAAATACGAACAACTGTCGGTGGGCCATACAAGGGGCTACATGAAGTGTAAGTTTGAGCTAGCGGAACGGTCCCCAGCAGCATCTTCTACCCGATTCTGCTGCATCTTGCTCATCTTTGCCTGCAAAAGCAACAAAGACAAAACATCCTTTCACTTTTCTTTGATCCGTTCTCTTGTTCCTCATACGACACGTACCGTACGGTATTGTGGTGTACGTGTGTGAGTGTGCAAGAATGGGTTTCAGGTGAATAATTCAGCTGGTTATGTTATTTAATGGCAGCAAGCAGCCGCCGCTTTGCCCCCCTCCCAACGGCCCGACAGACTAAATTCTCATTTTGCAAATGAAAACAAAAAATGGCGCAACAACAAATTTTGTTTGTGTTTGTTTTCGCTAGTCTATATACATTTGTACATATATGTATGTATACATATGTATGATGAATGAAAACTTGAATACATACATTGCATTGTTTGCCGCTAAAAATAAACAATTTTAGAATCTGTTTGGTGTCAACACCACAAAATATGCGTATCGTCATCTGTGTTTTGTTATATAAAAACCAAAAGATCAGCTGTTGAACAACAAATTCAAATTTATATATTCCCTGGCGTAAACCAGATAGCGTCGCTTTCGATATCCGACGAAATTCGCTGACCTGCACATTGTGGAGTTACTATTTCATCATCCCTGGGCTTCACATTTCGTCAGCCATTGCGTTGGGGGTATAAATGCTGGGGCTGTCGCTTCTTTGCGTTTATTTCACAATCGAGATGCAAGCAAAGTGCACGCGCAACCAGACACTGCTTTTACTCAACCAGATGGGCGTAGGATAGGTCAGACTCGGCCTCGAGCTCGGACTAGTAACTCCCATCTGACCAGCCGCATGTGCTTCTTGCTCTCTCTTGTCATTGCAGAATCAATCAAACATCACGCATCAGCATCATCCCGCACATTCATCTGACAGGAAATGATTCCAAGGATACAGTAGACCCTGATCCTTAGACACTTAGACAGCAAACCAATGCATAGCAATAGTATGAATAACATACAGAGCGTCCCGCCTCCACCCATCGGAGTGGGCGTTGGCGTGGGCGTGGGCATTAAGACGGCCCGGAGCAACATCTTCAATGTGGATGGTTTGCCGCAGCAGATGGTCAACCTGACCATCGACTACTCCAGCATACGGGGCAAGGATGTGCTGGTGGCGCCGAACGAGGAGCAGATGGACCTGCTCCAGAAGCGGCTGCTCGACCGCATAGCGGACAACTGCGGGGAGACCATCTACGAGATTGGCGTGGGCGAGGGTGAGTCATATTTCCTGTTCAATGGACCGTGCATGTGACTCTCCCTGTTCGGACTCCTCCGCAGATGGCAGCGATAAGGGTCTGAATCCTGAGCAATTCGCTGCCTCCGTGAGCACGTTGCATCTGCTGGCAGCCAACATCGATGCGGACGTGGTCAAGCTGCGTGAGCGGCGGGCAGAAAAGGGCCAGACGGCCCAGTTCCTCATACGGAAGCACATCGAGACCACCGATTTCATGGAGATACGGTGAGCACAACGAGACACCATTGGCGATTCCAATGCTAACATTTCAATCCCTCAGGGTGGCCGTTGTGGGTAATGTGGACGCTGGCAAGTCCACCCTGCTGGGCGTGCTCACCCATGGGGAGCTGGACAACGGACGCGGCCATGCGCGGCAGCGTCTGTTTCGGCACAAGCACGAAATTGAGAGCGGACGCACCAGCTCCGTGGGCAACGACATACTTGGCTTCGATGGAGTGGGCAATGTGGTCAACAAGCCGGACCATGGACACTTGGACTGGGTTAAGATCTGCGAGAACTCTGCCAAGGTGATCACCTTCATCGATCTGGCCGGGCACGAGCGCTACCTGAAAACCACAGTCTTCGGCATGACTGGACATGCTCCCGACTTTGGGATGTTGATGGTGAGAATCCGATTCGATCCTGAATCCGCCAGATTAATTACCATAATCCTGATTTCAGATCGGGGCTAATGCTGGAATCATTGGCATGACCAAGGAGCATCTGGGCCTGGCCCTGGCTCTGGCCGTGCCCGTCTTCGTGGTGGTCACCAAGATCGACATGTGTCCGGCCAACGTGTTGCTGGACAACATGAAGATGCTATTCAAGATGCTCAAGTCGCAGGGGTGCCGCAAGGTGCCCGTCGTGGTGCGCAACCAGGACGACGTCGTCCTCAGTGCCACGAACTTTGTCAGCGAGCGTCTGTGCCCCATCTTCCAGGTGTCCAATGTGACCGGCGACAACCTCGAGCTGTTGAAAACGTTCCTCAATCTGCTGAGCACGCGGATGGCCGGCTCCGAGAGCCTGCCAGCCGAGTTCCAGATAGACGATGTCTACTCTGTGCCTGGCGTCGGCACCGTAGTCTCTGGGACCTGCCTCCAGGGCACCATCAAATTAAACGACGGCCTCATGCTGGGCCCCGATGCAGTGGGGGCCTTTGTGCCTATCACTATCAAGAGCATACACCGCAAGAGGATGAACGTGGCACGCGTGCGCTGTGGCCAGACGGCGAGCTTCGCCCTGAAGAAGATTAAGCGGGCCTACCTGAGGAAGGGGATGGTGATGGTGTCGCCGGACCTGAAGCCGCAGGCCTGCTGGGAGTTCGAGGGAGAGATTCTGGTGCTCCATCACCCCACCACCATCTCGGCCAGATACCAGGCGATGGTTCACTGCGGCAGCATTCGGCAGACGGCGTCCATCATACACATGTCGCGCGAATGCCTACGCACGGGCGACAAGGCCCAAGTGAAGTTCCGGTTCATCAAGCAGCCGGAGTACATACGAGCCGGCCAGCGTCTGGTGTTCCGCGAAGGACGCACCAAAGCGGTGGGCAACATCCTGCGACCTATGCCCCACGCAGCCGCTTCTCCGTACCGCCCTAAGCCCGCCAAGATGCAGTCCCGATCTCAGAACGGCGGAAGCAATGGCACCAACAATCGACAGCAGGGCCAGGGCAGCTCCTCTGGAGCCAGCTGCAGCAAGGACGGTTGTGAGGAGAAGCAGAATGGTGACAAGCGCGAGGGAGGCAGCCGTCGTGGCGGCAAGCGGAAACGAAACAATCGCCCGCCCCTGCCCGGGACGAATCAATCCAATGGCTCTGCCGACCTATCGCTGTCGCTGCCCAGCGGCGAGGCACCGTCCTCGGCTGCCTCCACGGACTGCATGGAGTGAGAACCGTTTCCTTTGTTCTTTCTAGTTATGTAAGCAAAAGTATTTGAAAAAACGCTGCCCAAGTCCGGCGACCCAATCAGTTTTGTTACAAAAAAAAGAGAGAAACTATTTTGCTACTGGAACCCAAGGTAAGACACATTTGGCGTGTATAAAAATTAAAACGTGTTCCGTTCTCGTCCACTGTAAAATGAGTTGACAAATCGAATTTGTTCTTTTGTTTCATAGACTTAAGATTCACCGATTTCACTGCACATTGAAATTTATTATTTTTGATTTCTGACTTTAAATATAAGTTACTAAATTCCGCAACGAACGGATAAGTTAATGGACATTAAACGAATGATTTCACATCTTAGATTGTCTGCTTTATTGTATCCCCTCTGTTTCGTGGGAGTTTACCAAAAGGTTCCTACTGACTGTATGGCTGACTATAATTTTGATTGCCCCGGTTCATATTTACAGATCCCAACGTCGCTGGTTGCCTAGTTTTTCTTGTCTTTGAGCTCCTTCTTCACACCCTCCAGTTCTTGTTTTACATTGTTCTTGAACATACTGACGAAGGACCTGCAATGCACCAAGGATTATCAGATTATAGTCGCTGCATGGGGGTTCTGTCCTGCTGCTGTACTCACTTGAAACGCTCCGGCGTCATCTCGTGCAGCCCCTGCTCCCTGGCCAGGCTTTTGGTGCGGTACATGAGGGAGACGACCAGCTGGGCAGCCCGACGCATGGGATAGCTGTCTGCCATGCGCTGGATAAGCTGCTCATTGTTGGCCAGATACCGCATCAGCAGTCGCAGTACCATCGCACGTGCTCCTGTGCTCCGATGCCACTAGAATTCAGTGTCCTTGTACTTGCGTATGAGCTGCTGCTTCAGCTTCAGTTGATTCCGCAGCAGTTCGAGGCGTTGCAACTGCTCGTCCTTGTTGTAGTCGATGCCGGGCAGCTGCCTGATTTGCTCGCGCGCTGACTCGAAGCGCTTCTGCAGTTCGAAGATCTGCAGGGATTCAAGGATTGAGTTGAACGCTCACATCGACACATCATCTATTCTATGGGCTATTCTCACCTTGTGGTTGCAGTCCTGAGACTCGCGCAGCTTCACAGCGTTTTCAAGTGGATCCTTTTCCACGCTGAAAGAGATAACAGCGTATTATGTAAGACATTCGAGTGAATTGCGCCTTTCAAATATTTTTTAGATATATGTACTGCTTGACATTTTGGCCATTGCCACCGCACACTTGTGGGCCACATAACCTGAACCCACCAGCGCACAACGTCGTAGATTATTGGCAGAATTTCAATGTCCAGTTGGTCCACCGTCAGCTGGGTGCCGACGCCGTTGGAGGTCTGCGTCTCCTGGGATATGGTCGGCTCGAAGGGAGAGTTGGAGGTTTGCACCAGACCGTCGGCTGTAATGATGGGTTTTCGGTCCTCGATTTGATTGTTTGGCGACAATTCCATTATAAATAAAAAAGAAGAAAATTCGATGCCAGCCAGTGTGACCGTGACGATAACGATAAAAAATACCATCCGGCCAAAATCCGGTGATCAAACGAGACTTAACCCACTTAACACCCCTATATTTAAAAAGTTGAGCACCCTTTGGTAAACCGCGGAAAATTATATTGATTGTGAAGGCTCCTTGTAGCTCCATCCTCCTCTTTACTTACAAATCAAAAATGACCACCGACATCTTTTACCTGTAATGCGTAAAATATGCTAAAGTTACATCAATTTCGTGGAAATATTAATATAAAATATTATTATTAATAAATTTTGGCATCAAGCAATACCATAAAGTATTTTAAAAACCATAAGCGGTCGTGCTGATACCGTTTGATCCTCAGAAATATACCAGAATATACCTTATAGCACTAACCATACAGTATACTGAATACTTTTTAAATATAGGGGTGTGAAGTGGGTTAAGTCTCGTTTGATCACCGGCACTAACCATACAGTATACAGTATACTGTATGCTAAAGTTACATAAATTTCGTGGAAATATTAAAATAAAATATTATTATTAATAAATTTTGGCATCAAGCAATACCATAAAGTATTTTAAAAACCATAAGCGGTCGTGCTGATACCGTTTGATCCTCAGAAATATACCAGAATATACCTTATAGTTTTCAAAACATACCGTAAATATACCGAGATAAAAACGAACTTAACCCACTGAACCCCCCTCTATTTAAACATGTGAACACTTTGAGTTCAAACGCAGAAAATAGAACTGTTTGTAAATGTTCTTTGTAGATGCTTTTAACCTAAAAAAACAAATTACAAATATCCAGAAAAGTTTTATTTAAAAATTCACCCTAAACGGTCAGGTCACCCTGGTCAGATTTTCAGACCAGTGCTGTAAAACCTCGTAGTGCCGCATGCAATGCTAACTGGGCGCCAGATTTAAAATTTAAATCAAGTCGCAAAGATGTTAATTAGTTGATTGTCTGGAATTAGACCGCTCTTTCTATCAACTCTGTCTAATTTCTTTGCTAATTTGCAGACTCGTAGCTCCATTCACTTCATATTACGCCTTATAAACCTTTTACTGCCCCAGGGAATTGATCAATGGCCATAAAAAGTATTTTTGTGCCAAATGTTGCTAACTTTTATAAATTAACAGCTGCGAATTTGGCGACGCTAATTGAGGCCCGAAAACCCATGAAGACAATAGGAATCCTAAACTGTTCTTTTCCACCGAATGAATGATGAAAACGTGCAACAAATTCTCCAGATCGGATATGTTTCCAATGGAATATTTGCCGGTCATTCCATTGAAGCGAATTGCGACATTGACTTTTCATGTGCAAAATAAATTCATTTCACTTGAACCTTGTTATTGATGGCAATTTAAGATCAATTGAGACATATTTAATTCGTCTTCCCGAAGCCACAATTGAAGATAACTGTGAAACAAAATCGAAAGATTGATGATACATTTGGGATTTCGAAGTTCGGCTATTAGTATTTCCTTTGACTATTTAACGCCTTAATTATCAACATTAGTACATATGGATATGGATGGAATGGCTTCGGAGTAGGGTATTTTCGATTTTTAACAGCATTTTGTTCCTCAGATACATATAGCTCGATTGCGATTGATATTCATTTGAAATGCGCTGCATTCGTATTTCAGATTTCTCCATTTATTGCTGCTAAATGTGGTACAGTTGATGTGATATGTGCTTTACAGGTCTCACTGGCACTCGTGGACTCGTGGGATCGCTGGTGCTTGGCTTGCACTCGCTGCTTGCTGCTTGCTGGTTTTTATTCGTTCACTGTCAGATGGCTGACATTATTTAGCAGTTGTTTACTCGTGAATCGCTTTTTCTTTACTGATAGCAGAGTGCACTCCCTGTGGCAGATACTGCAGCCCTTTGTTCGTTTTTTCTTCTTCTCAGATTTCCCAGCGTTTTAGACTCGAGAGACTCTCAACTCGACTTGACTCAACGATTCAGTAAATTTTCAAATATGTGTGACGATTATCTGTACTTTTGTCACTGTCAGATATGCGACATTCTAATTAAAGCTGACTTTTGAGTATGGCTTCTTCCTTGGAAAAATTGGTATTTGGGTATTTGCTTATACTTTGACTTTGACACTGTCAGAAGGCTGACATTCTACAGCAGCTATGGTACTCGGGGATTGTGTTTCTCAAACTCAGACTCAAAATCCAATACGAATTGATAGTCGATAGATGCACACTTTTGGCCTTTGGCTGATGATAAATTGATATCTGGATCGGATGGGGATCGGCTGCGGAGCAACGTCGGACAGAACTATTACGGGCGAGTTTCGAACGTATTCTGTTCAGCGCTGGCTGTGCGACAGGGCTGCGAAGTTAAGTGGCTCGAGTCGAGTGGTATTGCTGTTTGCTGCGAGCTTAGTCGCTCGGGAATTCGTGGTCTGGTCTGGGCTCCGGGCTCAGGCAAGGTACGGGGTGTGGTATGGCTGTTATCGCCACTCGTGTATTTGTATGGCGAGGGGTGTTATATATTAGCTCTTAGAGTCGGATTTTATTGGAGCCTAATTTCTGTGGCTTTTTGCGATGTTTGGTGGCTGGTGGCGAACAGGTTTTCGATGCGATCGAAATGTTAATTATTCACAAATGTTCAGATTTCATTAGGCGAATTAACAGCGCGAAAAAGAGTTTGTTTGTTCGGCGCAGGGGTTTTGGGATCGATTCGATGTCTCTTGACTTTTCTTGATTTGCACTATTTACGACGGCTCGATTTTCTATATTTTTTTTTTCGGTGGCTACTGTGATAAGGCTTGGGCGATAGCGATTGCGAGTTCGGTTCAATGATAATTTGTTTGCCAATTCGATGGGACGCGTCACTTTTTTGCGGACGGTTCTTTAGGAGTCTGGATCCTGGGCGTTCCCTATAGGAGCACTTTTAGTCCGACGAAGCGAGGCTTCGAAAAGCCCAAAGAGACGGGCATTTTGTGCGGAGAACCTTGGTCGAGCGGGCAGCCAACACGGACACGAGGTTAAAATATCAATGAGTTGTGAGAATTTCTGCCGTTAGCGGGAAACTACAGACACAGTTTCGGAATCAGCAAAGCCCCAATCAAGCCGAGTGGCCGACGGCACAGATACACATACACTTGTGGACGGTACTCCGAGAGCAGAGGCAAAAACGGCACCGATGATGCTCGCGACCAGCGGAGACGGAGATGATGGAGACGACGACGACGACGGCAACAACGGCAACGGCAATGGATGTGAGTGCGAGTGCGACTTGCGATTACGGAGGCGGAACGGGAACAACTACAGACACAGACGCACTTTTGGAATCATCCAGCTACCCAGAGTCGTCCAGAGATCCCAGCAAATTGATGTACGTGGATGCTGCTGCTGCTGCTGAGGCTGCTATCACTCTAATTGATTGTGGCAACAACAAAGTTATATACGCACACACACACAATCATTCAATTGAAAGGGCTGTGTTGTGTTTTGCTGTGCCTCTGTGTGAATGGGTGGGAGGGAGAGATGCACTTGTTGCTGTTGCTTCAGCTGCTGCTGCTTTGCTTCTTTCTTCTCTGCTTCTCCCCAGCTGTTTTGCACGTTTTGTATCGCTGCCTCTTGCTGCTGCGTCTCCCTGTGAATGCCAACGACGACGATGGAGATACAATAACAAGTCAATTAATACGAGTGGACAGCGCACTATATAGCAATTTTCCTCGATTTATGTTGATTGGGCGTTGTTGTATCTGCAATTGGACTCAATTCAGGCTCGTTTCTGCAAATGTGTGCGCTGCTGGGACTTTCGATTCAATTTTCGGCTGGCTCGCTGCTTTTTTGCTGCGCGCGTCGATGACGTATTTATTTCGCGAATATACGAACACGCACGCACAAGCTGTGAAAACTTGAACGTTGGTCGGTTGGTCCGGAGGGGAGGTGTGGTGTGGTGTGGGTGGCGCTGACCGCTTATTGAGCTTTTCCGCTTTCGATAGACAAGAGGCGTCGACGTTTTAATATTTTGGTTTTGCTTTGACTGGATGGGATTATTTGACTCTGTTCAAGATTGGTTATTACACTCCGCACAAAGTGGAAAACGTGTGTCGCCGATGGAAGCTAAATTTGTACTCTTTGGTGGTACTGATTTGGGGAGCGAGCTTCAAACGCTAATATTAACACTAGCCACAGACCCTCTCCGGCTCTCTGCCGCTCTCTCGGGCTCCACTCATTTGTGGGGGCCGTTCCAAGGCACGGGCCAGCCAGTGCTCTTTATGCCCACCCCCTATCTGTAAATGTGTGTTGTGTTCGTGTGCGTGATAATGCCAGTTTGGAATGCAACAAAAACACGCACTTTCTACGACGACCTATCGCTGCCATCAATACAGTTACTTCCAAAAATTGTATGTGCTATCTGGGGGACTGACAACAACAAGGAACTTTGATTATCAACAAGAACAGCTGTTTGCATTAGTCGCAGTCCTAAAGAAGGAGACTGACAGAGAGAGACGAGTGCACCTGCTTGTGTGTGTGGGCGGGCTGGGTTCTCTTCAGAGTGGGTCAATTATGATCTTAGGGTGAACCTTATTATTTATTATATGCAATATCCAACAAGTAAATGACACTTTTTTTTTAGTTTTCATTCATGATAATTTCATTCCATCCATATCCATATGTACTAATGTTGATAATTAAGGCGTTAATTAATCAAAGGAAATACTAATAGCCGAACTCGAAATCCCAAATGTATCATATCTTTCGATTTTGTTTCACAGTTATCTTCAATTGTGGCTTCGGGAAGACGAATTAAATATGTCTCAATTGATCTTAAATTGCCATCAATAACAAGGTTCAAGTGAAATGAATTTATTTTGCACATGAAAAGTCAATGTCGCAATTCGCTTCAATGGAATGACCGGCAAATATTCCATTGGAAACATATCCGATTGGAGATTTGTTGCACGTTTTCATCATTCATTTGGCGGAAAAGAACAGTTTAGGATTCCTATTGTCTTCATGGGTTTTCGGGCCTCAATTAGCGTCGCCAAATTCGCAGCTGTTAA